CCCCCCCCCCCCCCCCCCCCATCACTTTTCTAATGGTCCGTCCCTTATGTGTCCTAGTCAAATGAGAACAAGAGTTGCTTGAGAGTTGCCTGGATTAGTCTGTCAAGATATGTTAGTCTGGAAACTGAACAGAAGTCATTGTGTTATTTTTTGTTAAACTGAACAGAATTCATTGTGTTATGAGTTTATGTCAGTTTACGGTCACTGTGATTGAGCTCATTGTATTTTTTATAATGAAGTACTCGTCCAATAGGGATAGCTGAGATGAAACGTGCAACCACGATGAATAATATTTAATGAGGTTGAGACAAAGGATTTGTGCACGGCGAGGTAGTTCAACATCAAACAAATATGTTTCTATCATATCTTGACAGACTGTGACTGTATGTTACCACCTCAATTAAATTTGAACCAATTTGAAGCCAAGTTGATGAGAGTACATGACATGTGATTGGATATTTTAGCGCGCGTAGCAAAAACTCTCATCACTCTCATGAAAATTTGAACCAGTTCAAAGTTAAAAATCAAAATTAAAGCCCAGCAAATGAATTTCAGACAAGACATAACAAAATATAAAATTTATTGGCTAACGTTTCGTTGTTATTGTTCACAACATCTTCAGAGCAATTAAACTTATTTACAAGCGTATATTATATATATACAAATAGTTTCAAACGGTTACAGTATTCAAATAAGCGAATAAGAGGAAGGATGAAAAACAACCTGTCATTAAAAGCAATAGTATTAGTAAATTAAAGAAATAATGGTTAGTAATTAGAGACCTAGCAAAGCATTAGAAAAGGTCAAGAGGAGTTGACCTAATGTTAGCATTTAAAGTGAAGTAATTAGGATTAAGCTTGGATATGAAAAGGCTTTCGCGAATTAAATAAGTTTAATTGCTCTGAAGATGTTGTGAACAATACAACGAAACGTTAGCCAATAAATTTTATATTTTGTTATGTCTTGTCTGAAAGTCATTTGCTGGGCTTTAATTTTCACTTTTAAATTACGCTTTCCACCCGGTGTATCAATCGCTACAGTTCAAAGTTGATGAGAAATTATGAGAGTCGATGAAAGTTGGCAGTCAAACGCAGGCGAGAGTTGCAATTCTCACTAACTCTCATCCTCGCTTGATCTGCTCTTAAGCTAACCGATATTCAATGTTTTAGTAACCAAATCGAGAAGCACTATCCAGATGGCACTAAGGAGATAATTTTTCCTGATCAGACAGTGAAATATCTGTACACTTCGGGTGCTGAAGAGTGTGTGTTTACTGATGGCACGGTGGAGAGGATAAGTGTAGATGGAGGGAGGATAGTTGAGTTCCCCAATGGACAGAGAGAGACACATACCAAACTATTTAAGGTGATATTTCAGTATGTGAAAATCATGAATTACTTTGCACGCAATCATGTCAAAATACGTCACAAGTTGTTACAAATCTGTTCGCAAGCTGTCGACAAGTTGTGTTCGCACTGCTTGTTCCCAGTTGTTGTAACAAGTTTGGAACAAGCTGTTAACAACTTGCAACAAGCTTGATGGCATTATCAGACTTGTCACAAGGTTCTAACAAGTCAATCATGATATAGCAAGAATGTTACAAGGTTGACGACACAAGGTTGGAACAATATTGTTATATCAAGACTGTATCGGACTTGTTAGAACAACCTTGCAACAAGTCTGATAATATCAACAAGGTTGTTACAAGGTTGTTCTGACAAGTCTGATACAGTCATGATATGACACGAATGTTACAAGATTGACTACACAAGGTTGGAACAATATTGATATATCATCGGACTTGTTGGAACAACCTTGCAACAATTCAGATGATATCAACAAGTTTGTTACAAGCTGTTAACAAGTTGTGACAAGTTTAATGGCTTTATCAGACTTGTTACAAGGCTGTTCTAAACAAATCTGATACAGTCATGATATAGCAAGAATGTTACAAGTTGACGACACAAGGTTGTAACATGTTATATCAAGACTGTATCAGACTTGTTAGAACAACCTTGCAACAAGTCTGATAATATCAACAAGGTTGTTACAAGTTGTAACAAGCTTTTATGGCAATATCAGACTTGTTACAAGGTTGTTCTGACAAGTCTGATACAGTCTTGATATAACAAGAATGTAACAAGGTTGACGACACAAGGATGTAACAATATTGTTATATCATGACTGTATGAAAACGTGCATGTTTTTATTTCCCCAGAAACGTGAATACCCAGACGGCACAGTGAAGACAGTATACACAGATGGTCGTCAGGAAACACGTTATGCGTCCGGGAGGCTGAGAGTCAAGGATGGTGAAGGTAGACTATTGGTAGATACCGCTGAACAAAATATACAGGCGCAACAAGGTCTGGCTTCATAGCACTGCGGTTTGCGCTCTTAATGGCCTACTCAGTTTCGTATGGAAATTGACCAATTGAAATCATGCGACGTTTACATCATTTATCAGTCTTTGGCTTTATTCATTCTACATTTGAACACGAATGAAAGAACAGTCAAATCTTCCTTTCAGAAACCTCTCTTATACAGACACCTCTCCGTTGAGGATGTTTCCGAATGTTGATATACATAATGCTCACATGTACCCATACATGTAAACCTCTAGAAAACCATAGTTAATAGAGGAGATGGTTTGGAAACTCATTAGCATTACAATAAACCTGATTATCTATGTTTTTGTTCAGGTTTATGCAAAAATATAATCTTTCATCGTCATGTGCGTATTGTATTTTTGCTCAACCAGCCAATAGCGACTTGGGAAAATACAATACGCACGTGACGATGAAAGACCACATTTTTGCATAAACCTGAACAACATAGATAATGAGGTTTATTGTGATTTTATTGTAACAGTGCCGTAGCAAGCTCGATAATTGGGGAGGGGGCAGATATTCATATATTCGTGTTCACAGACCATAAAAACAATCGATTTCTAAAGAAATTAATAACGCAGAACACGAATATATGAATATCTGCCCCCCCCAATTATCGAGCTTGCTACGGCAATGTGTAATGCTAATGAGTTTCCAAACTATCTCCTCTATTAACTATGATAAAACGGATGGCTTTCCAGTGGCGCCGTGGGACCCTTGTTTTTGGGGGGCCAAGGGCTTTTCCGACAAACCTGAAAATAATCCCCCCCGTCGCCAAAAAAATTTCGGCCAGTGTACCATTTTAGGGGTCAAAAATTTTTTCCGTACATACCAAAATTTTTCGTTACATCCTAAAATTTTTCCGGAAATCACCCATTTTCTCAATTTATCAAAAAATTTCCGAATTTACCAACGTCGGAAATTTTGCCAATTTCCGACAACGTTGTCAATTTTCCAAAAACTTCCGACAACATTCACAATTTTCCGACTGGTCTTCACAGTAGGGGGGGGGGGGGCATGGCCCCCCCTGGCCCCCCCGGCCACGGCGTCACTGTGGCTTTCTAATATAAACACTTTGACATTGCTGTGGCTCTTCAGTGTCCGATTTATTTTGCTGCGACTGATTCTGATGGATGTGAAGGAGTGGGTGGGTTATGAATGTCCAGGTGAGGTGAGGGTACATATACCCCATTGAACTATAAATAGACTGGAAGGCTAACTGCTATGATGAAGGCCTATGATTTGATGAAGCCAAAATAGTTTTTCTGAGTTATGAGCAGAAATACTTGACCCCAAACGTCGGGCTATATATCAAATTGAAGCTATTGGAAATTGCTATTCGGTGTGGAAATTTCAAGACTTCAGCGAAAAGAAAAATATTTAAAAAATACAAAAACAACTGCAAAACGGCAAATTATCGGTAATTATGTTTGTAGTTTTTCAATATTTCCCTTTTAGCTAAAGTCTTGAAATTTCTACACCAAATAGCATTTTTCAATAGCTTCAATTTGATATATAGCCCAACGTTTCAGTGTTGAGTATTTCTGCTCATAACTCAGAAAAACTAAAATGCACTGGCTTCAATTCCCCCCCCCCCTGAGTTAGCCTTCCAGTTTATTTATAGTTCAATGATATACCCAGAACATTCGTAACTCATCTACTCGTTCACATCCATCAGAAGAAGGAACTCGCACTAGAAATCGCAAGTGTAAACATGCCTTTGGAGAGGTCCGAATGAAAAAAAAACATAACGACGAAGAGCAGGCCTTAAAATATATTTTCCAGGGCCGTCTGACAAAATGTACGATGACGTTGAGTTTGGGTAGGACATATGTCCGATGACCTTCAGTTCATTTTTGGCTCGGAAATAAGTCTGAATGACACAAATGAATAAACGGTAAATGTTGTAAAGATATTAAATAATTTGTTTCTTTCATACTTATTTCCAAGCCAAAATTAACTTGCTTTCCAGAACAGCAGTATCAAAAAGACTTCGACAACTTAAGCCCGTTTTCCACTTCACCATTTCGCTCGCCGCACCGTGCTCGACTACGTTAAAACAACATTTCCAGTTGACCTTTTATACAATAGTAGGCTACTCTGATTTTCCATTTAACCAGTACAAGCCTCTAGTCCTGGGCTAGGGTACATTTTGATTTACGTCGGACAAAGCCGATAATTTGGTCGGACACCAATACACTCGGGTCGGACAAACAATAAACCTCAGTTTCACTTAGGTCGGACAGAATGTCCGGTGGTTTCCTTTCTACGTCGGACAATTTCACGAATGGGTCGGACAATGTCCGTGACCGACCGATATTTTAAGGCCTGCGAAGAGTGATAAAGATGAACGTATCTCATGATCTGATTTTGGCAATTTGTCCAGAAAACTGAGGAGGCCCATCAGTAAATTATTTTGTATATATGTACATGTAATTTAATGGTTGCTGGGATTATGTTGCAGCAACCTTAATAAACGATGTGGAAATGCATACACGTTCATTCCAATATGGAATTCCAGCTGGAGTGGTTTGTGTCTGAACTGGTAGAACTACCTTAAACCGTTTGAACAGAAGGCCTTCGCCAGCTTGTCACAACTTGGTGTTCCATCAATCCCTCGAAGTTTAATCAACCTCCCTGCCATCTGGAATCTTGCCTTTCCAGATAAGACTGCAAAGTTTTATTTTGCGCCGGAAACATTTTTTGCACAGAAATGTTGGATATTTTATATCAAAAATTTACGGCAGACCAGGGATTTCTGCAGTCAGAAAGCGTTTTTGGCAAATAGGAGGGTCAGAAATCTGCATGGTTATTGTTTCACAAAGGCATTTTGTGCAGATTCTTAAAAAAGTTATTTGCACTTTTTTATAATTGAGGAATTTTGCACAGATTTTCATTATTGCAAGAATTTTTGCGCAGGAAATTAATTTCCTCCAAAGCCAAAACTTTAGTCTGGTTGCCTTTAACCATACAGACACAGTATGTTATAAACTCAACCACCATGGCTAAGGTGTAGGCAATATTGTACCCAGAGGATGCCCGTTGGCAGGTTAGTGGCCCCTAACCTGTGAACGGGTATGCTCTCTGGGTACATGGTTGAGGTGTAGGGTCCCACACAGGCCAAGGCAAACAAGAATTAATGGTATTTGGGATTTTGAATCAAAAGAGGAGAGAGATGACTATGTAAGTTATATGAAATACATTTTTAATAAATTCCAAATAAATAAAAACATTTATAAGCTTTTTGTTCTTTTCATATCAAAACTTCCTTGTATTCTAAAATCTTGACACTTCACATTAAACCTAAAATATGGAAAATTATTTTCAAGGTATTAGGGTGGGTAATAACTTCACAACCATTAAGTTGCGTTGCATGCATTATTTTACTCTAATGCCTAGTTATTTTACTCTGTCTAACGCCAGATGATTTTACTCATCAAGGGGAGAGCGCTGGCACTCGATGGGTAACTGATAAACCACCTGGTCTACATGTGGGTGAGTATGGGTAAGCCAGTTGTCTCAGCTCATACTTACCATGGTCAACTTTACACTGCTTTAACACTTCATTGAAGCCTTTACAGAAGGTGATGTCATGTTGGTTTTGAGCACACTGAACAAATTGTTCAAATTCAAACTGACAAGGATTGTTGGAAGCTTGCATCGTATTGGCGGGTTGTTGTCCTGCAGGTGTAGTGTCATTGTTGTCATGGAAACCACCTGTTATAGCACCGCCAACTACATGACCCTAGGTGGAAATTTATTATATGGTGTGGTGAGTTTACAACTGGATACAATGGGCATACAGTGGGCAATTCATAAGCAAATTCAGGGGTGAATAGAAATACAAAACAATGCTGTACATGACTAGGCTTGGGCGGTTTTGCTTAAAATCAAAACCGAAAAACCGTCTGATTCTAAACCGGTAAAACCGGAAAACCGGTTTTTTTCGTTTAATTTTTACTTCAACTGAATGAGGAAGAATTGTGGTATTTCTTTGACATAAGCAAACGAACAGTACATGACAAAACGCAAAATTGTGCAAAGGTAACCTAAAACGACTTCAGTTTTAAAATAAAAGGGTCAAGAACGCATTTGAAAACTTATACCTCTTTCGTTCTTACCGACTTTACGGAAAATAATAGAATTTGTATCTAGTGTCATGTAATTGAGTTTGATTAGTGTCATGTTTTGAGAATTAAGATTTTCAGGCGATGACAGTAAACAATTATGTAATGACGGTTTTCCGGTTTTTGTAAAAGCTAAACCGAAAAAAACGGTTTTAAAATAAAACCGAAAAAACCCGAAAAACCGCCCAAGCATATACATGACATTTGCTAACTGGAATTTGCCAATACACGTTGGCTATGGAACCTTTTTTGTGATTGAGACATGGGCTTTTAATAACCGACATCAGATGTACATGAAAACGAGGCTCTATAGTCTATAGTCAAAGTGACATGGGCTTGTCACTCCAGTAATGTAACGAGCCCACTGTATTCATTGTGACGTCATTCTTTTCAATTACCATGACGTCATTCGGATGACATCATTGAAACTTCAACTTCGAAATAGTATTTTTGCAAAATGCAAATTTAAAAAACATTGAAAATGTTCTACACATATTTTCAAATTCACTTACAACGGTAGATCCGATAGCAACTCCTGCGGCGGTCGAAGCCATTTGGCCAAATAAACCCGGTCCTCTCTGGACTTGTGTGCTTTGTGGAGGAACCACACTGCTCGACGGTCTAGCGGCCGGCACGTTTGAACGAGAAGATAAGCCCCCACTTGGGGACGAGCGCGCTCTTGATCGGCCACGAGGCATCTTTTTAAACAGCCAAAAACAAGCCCAGTTTCTTTCTTTAAAAATGACTGATTTTTAACAGAATTTCTGACGAAATAAAATAGTTCGATGATTTTGCAAATTTTTATTTTGGATGTTTTATGAGCCCGCAAATTTCGGGTTCACTTCGGAAATGGCCGTAACTTTCACACACTTTCAATTTTCACAGTAAACAGTTGTTTGGTGGTATTAGTTATTTGAATTTTATACAAAAAAAAAACCCAAAAGATTAAAGCAGTAAACAGATTCGACGCAACTCTGACACAATGTACACAAGCAAGTAAAGTGTTCAACACTGACGCTCAAGTGAAATAATGCTGACGTCAGCAATAACATTTTTCAATTCAAACAACATAATATAAAACTTTTTAAAGGAGAATAATTTTGGTTGAACACTCGTAATAGTGATCTGAGAAACATGTGAGCCAGTCAGTTCTGTAGCTTTCTAAGTTTTGATTTTAGATCGATAATCGGCATAATCCGGACGAATCTTTACAAATCTTTACTGACTTTACACAGTTGTCGTCTTGGGTGCTCTGTGGACTGTGGTTTCAAATGAACAGCCGAAAAAGAAAATATTGACATAGTCAATAACTTGCCAATGGCAACCGCGTCTAATCAATATTTTCTGCTTTACTATGAATATAAACTCCCTAAAATAGCAGAGAAATAAAGCATCTTCAAGTCTTTATTGAATATGAGTCGCGAAAGACTGTCTACGCCAATTCGTTCACCGACTAGCGCGGACGAAAAGCCACTTAGTCGCTGCTCATCTGCTGAGATAGCCAAACAGGTTGGTAGTTTATATACATGAAATATGGATGGTACCTTAGAGCTTTAGTCTTTTTTGCATTCATTATGCTGGGTTTACAAAGCCGAGTTACTTAATTTTAAGGCTATTGCTATCCCAATGAATATGCCTAGTTAGCTATCACTGAGTATTAACCATTATAATGTATGTCATTTGCAAGTTCATGGGTTGTGCACCCGAGAAAAGACTACTCTAAAATTAACTCATCTAAATAATATTGGAGATTCTCAATGAGGAATAATTATTAAAGGAAAGTTGATCTAAACTGTAGCCGTGCACCCGATAATCTTGCTTGTTCGATACAAACCTCACACTGATACATACCCTTTAATACCATTATTCAATATAACAGTTGACCACATATTGCCCATTTTCTCAGCAAAATGCCAATATGCCTGTCTACCGATTGTTCTGCGTGGACATTATGGCCGATGATTTTACCACATTAATTTGAATAATCACTCCCTCACTCTTGCAAAAACCAAAAACTTTATGCAGACCAAGTTTACCTATTAACTAACTTGACCAAGCTGTTAACCCATTGAGTGGCAGCACTCTCCCCCTGACAAGTAAAATCATCTGGAATTAGACAGAATAACCAGAAATTTCTTATTTTTTGCTTTGTTGCTTACATGTTTCCACTTCCAGAACCAAGACAGTCACTATAAAGTTCATTCTGCATTGTCAAGGAACTCGAGAAATTTTAGCTGAAATTTCTAGTAATTGACCCATCATGTCAGAAATTTTACCACAGTCAGAAATTACTGATCGTCCCAAATCACAATCGGCTTGATTCTGGATGGTTAAAACCGGTTGACCATCCCAGCCCAACTAACTCCGCCCACTCATAAACTGACTAACCTAACCATTAAACAAGCTAGGAGCCATGACTACTTTCTATCTTTGCAAATTTTGAGGGATTTAAATGATCAGTCCCCTAATATGTCAAACATAGCTTCCCTAATATATCAAACAGTAGTTAACTATTGGGCCAAGATGGTATGGGCCAAGTTGGTCAGTGGGCCAGGGGCGGAGCGAAGACTATCCTTTTCGGGGGGGTGCAAGACAACTTTTTGCCGACAAAAGGGCGTGGTAGCACGTTGTTAGGGCGTGGTCAAAACGAACCGTATTCATTTTTAAGTGATGTACAACGACGAAGTCTGAGTAGTAAGATAATTTATTTTTAAAATACTAATAGGCGAAATAGTTCCTTAAAATACATGGAATAAATGCCAAAAAAGCATATCCAATCGTCATCAAACGACCGATTACAAACTAAACACGTCAGTTTCTCTCTCTTCCGTTTGCGTTTTTGCTTGCTACTGTCCATTCTTTTAAATCATCTTCGTATTTCTCATTGTATATAAGACCGTTAGGTGTAATTTCTAAGACCTTTACTGGCTTTACAAAATTATGAAATGAAGCGCAGACGCATCAACAGTCAACACGCACATGTGCTTCGAGTTTCCTATGGTATCATATTTCACAAAATTGCAAGAAAATTTAATGCTATTAAATAGCGTATTAGCGTAATAAGTTCTTGGCCAATTTGGCTGAATGTTCAGAAAAGAGCCGAGCTTTCAGTCGACATATCCATCTTTTCGATCTCGCATTTTCTACAAATTTTCTACAAACAATCTCTCTCCAATCAGGTATTGTCTATTGGCTTGATCCAATTCATTTTGCCGACAACTGATTTATTGTGCCGACGGACACGGCATTGGGTACGCCCCTGCAGTGGGCTGGCCGAGTTGACACATCACTGCTTTTAATAGAAAGGAACCATATTATTATTTAACCACCATCCCATATTGTCATTTTCCTTGTTAGAAAGTGTACAACAGTTCAACAGGTGGTCAATTACGACACCAGAGATCTGGTATTCTGAATAGAAATGAAATCATGACAGAAGATGACGATGGGTGGGATACAGACCTTGAGTGCGAAGGTAGGAGAAACGCTAGTTCAAGTAATGACACCACAAAAGTAAAAGAACTGTTTGAGTTAAATGAGCATATATGTAAGAGTGATACTGACAGGAATCTTGCTAGGATTCTGCCAGAATTATGCCAGGACGAGATGTCTTGGTATGATAAAACCAGGATTCTATCAGAATCATTCCGGGATTTTTTCAGCATCCAAGATTCTATCAAATCATTTCAGGATTCTACTAGAATCATTCCAGGATCATCCTATCAGAATCATTCCAGGATCTTTCTAAGGATCTTACCATAGTCTTGAGGATCTTTCCCATAGATTTCTTCAAAAGAATTCTAATAAAAAATTCTAGAAATGAAAGAGGACTATGATGTGACAGGGAGGACAACGTACATTCAAGCATGCAAGATGAATGGTGTCATACCAGTGTCATATTTTCTCAGAAATTTACAAAATCCTGAAGTTGACATGAAGCATCATGGGATTGGCGCATCTGGCACCAAAGCAATTGCGATAGCACTGGTGGTAATATATAATTTAAATAATTATACAGTTATGGAATTTTGATTGAGTCCCTGATTGATGATTGTTATTGATTGACTAGTTGTTGATTATTGATAAATAATTTGCTTCATAGAATGACTATTTGATTCATTGACTATTAATTAATCATTGCTTGATTAATGTATCATTTGTTGAATTGATTACTACAAATCGTGGCTAGATTTTGCGTACGTCATAGCCCCAAACCATAGCTATAAGGTTTGCTGAAAACAGTCATGCTTTATAGCCATAAACCATGAAGAAAGCTGATCCAAAGATTGTTTTAGTAAGTGCTGGATCCAAAGATTATTTGGGCTTGTCAATATGTAAGTGATGCTTGGTGGCCCTCTTCCACAACATGACAAATTTTGTGTCCAAAGAGGGCCAATTAACAAGTGTGGACCTGGGGAACCAAAAGCAGCCCCCCCCCCCCTCCACCCTTAGGTTAGTTAATTAAAAGCTTCCCTGATTGGATGTAGTACATATTGTAATAATAAGAATATTTTAAATCTTCATTTAAGACAAACACATGTGTTGTATCACTGAACCTTGCCGACAACTCTCTCGGCCCTGAAGGAGCTGGATTCATGGCCGATATGTTGAAAGAAAATTGTTATATCTCAAAGCTTGTAAGTTTATAATTTGTAGCTAGATTTATACCAAAGATCATCCGATGCGACATCCACACGAGGGATTTCAGAGAACAATTGAGCACGGGCTGTCAAAAAAGCTGTAATTTTGTCAGAAGACAATCTTGAAACCCTGGAACATTTGCCATTGATGAAGAATGAGAAACATTTTGAATTTTTCACACAAGGAATCATGATATCATACTTTCTTATGTGTCATTTGAGATTGTGAAGTATTGTTCTATGTTCAAATTTGGTGTAATGTACGCTCAAATTTGCCATTGTTTTTATTCCACGCTATTGAGGAACATTTGAAAAGGCAAATTCAAGATAGTGTGCTTATGAGAATCTCTCTCATAAGCACGCTCATATATGCTTATTATACAAGCACGCTCATATACCAAAATCCGATGGTACTGTTGGTGCTCATGAGCATACTGGATCAGTTTTGGTCATATATGAGCGTGCTTATGAGAATCCCGTATTGTGGTGTCTCATAAGCACGCTCATATACCTCGTGTACCTGGCCTGGCTGGGCACATCGTTCCTTGCCCCTTCTCGTTCTGATCAACAGTATGTATGTATTGTCTACCACATAGTTTAAACCTTTTCCGTATAGTTAGCTAAAGAAAAAAAACAGTTAAAAGCAATAAAATTTCAATTTTCATCCAGGATTTGTCACAAAACCAGCTTGGTAGTGAAGGTGCAAGATTTGTGGTAGATGTCTTGTTGAAGAATTCTGTTGTGACATCGTTAACACTCAAAGGTGAGCGGTTTAATATGTTCTGTATTTAACAAATATAAAACATTTTCCGTGTTGATGTACAGTTATATCAACACGAGTGGAATTGGGAAAACGAGAAATTGTATGGAAACACGACGCCCGAAGGGCGGAGTGTTTTCATACAATTTCGAGTTTTCCCAACTTCCACGAGTATTGATATAACTATATATCAATACGGAAAAAAATGTTTTATATTTTTTTTATAATATAGCAATGTCAAAAGCCCGAAGGATAAGAAAAATTTCTGTGTTTACAAGCGGCGGAAAATTACCCGTGTTGACATTGAGTTATATCAACACGGCGCTTAGCCAATCAGCGTTCAGAATTTACAAATGCTATATTATAAACGTAACTATGCACCTGTAATGAGTATGTACATGTACTGTGGTTTTGTAATAGTTAACTAAATAACTGGCGTGAGTATTATTTTGAACTAGTTGCAACGCCAACACATGTAAAATATAATCTGATTTATACATTCCTGTATTGTATTTTTGTCTATTCTTACGAAGATAATTCTATTTTTCATCATTTTGAAAGTTCAAGCTTTACTAGACTGGACTGGACTCGCAAAACATGAACTCAGTCTAGTCATCGATTTGTAAAACACGGACTGAGTCCATGATTTGTAAAACACGGACTGAGTCCATGATTTGTAAAACACGGACTGAGTCCATGATTTGTAAAACATGGACTGACTAAAACACGGACTGAGTCCATGATTTGTAAAACATGGACTGACTAAAACACGGACTGAGTCCATGATTTGTAAAACACGGACTGAGTCCATGATTTGTAAAACATGGACTGACTAAAACACGGACTGAGTCCATGATTTGTAAAACATGGACTGACTAAAACATGGACTGAGTCCATGACTCAGTTGATGTTTTGCAACGTGAATAGTGTGTTGGTAGGCGTGATGATAACAACTCTTCTCTCGGTTTGTTTCTCTCGTATTCAAAGACTTCACTTGCAGTTTGTTCTCGTGAAATGTGAACTGATAGATTGAAAAGACTGGACGAATAGTGAGAAGTGCGAACGTGAAGAAGACGTATGTAATAAGATATAATAATTAGTAATACTATATGCATGTATTTTCTTGATTTTTACTAGACATATCGGTTGTTTTAAACAATCCTTTCAATGTTCAGCCTTCAGTAATGAAAGGTATTAAATACTCAGGATAAAAAAAATTTGTACAGTTTAATTAAGGAGACTCCCTACAGTTTCCAATATATATCAGTGTTTTAAACTAAAAGCTATTTGAAGCTAAAAAACTAATCTTTTGCACAAGCCATTGTTTCCTCATATAAAAAAGTAATTTTAACCCACAATTGCTACTCTTCACGTTACCATGACAACATGACGTCTCCATCTATATGGCCTATATCAACCAAAAAAGCCGTCTTAGCGGACAAATAACCGCGGTGACGTACGTTTTATACTGTAGAAAATACATTGTTATGAAGTTTTGAATATTTTTTGAAAGTTACTTGATCGTCAGTGTAGTTTTCGAGAAACTGAATTTCAAAACTTCATAACAATATATTTTCTGCAATAAAAAAAGGTAGGTCACCGTGGTTATTTGTCCCATGGGCGTACGGGAAGGAAAAAATTAGGGGGGGGCGGAAAGAAATTTGCCCGACTTTTTCGGTTTGTGCCCCGCGTTGTCAAAAAAATATTCCGGAGAAACCTTCCAAAATTGTTGTCGATGGGGGGTGGGGGTGGGGGGAGGAGTGATTACGAAGAATTCGTATTAGATAGCATATTTCCCACAAAATTGACAGAATTTCCCACAAAATTTTATAATAACTCAATAATGCCCGACTGTGAAGCGAATATTGCCCGACTGGCTTTGTTTGCCCAACAAACTGGGGGGCTGCCGCCCCCGCCCGGTACGTCCATGATTTGTCCGCTAAGACAGCTTTTTTGGTTGACGTAGGCCGATATAGATGGTGACGTCATGTTGTCATGGCAACGTGAAGAGTAGCGATTGTGGGATTGATTGTGGGTTAAAATTACTCTTTTATATAAGAGGAAACAATGGCTTGTGCAAAAAGATTAGTTTTTTAGATTTCAATAGCTTTAGTTTAAAACACTGACATATATTGGAAACTGAAGGGATCCTCCTTAAAACGTGTTTTTAAATTTTCGTGAAATAGTTACACACCCACACCCTCTTTACCACCCTCTGCATATATATTGAGGGGGGAGTGGGAGAAAGCGCCAAAAGCCATAAATTTTCCAGGCATCTGTTATGACATTTTCCCAATTTTACATATTTCTTGCTTTTTCCAATATGATTTGCTCGATTTTTAACTAGAATGGTAGAGTCATGGTTTTTAAGTAGAATCTGTCCCCTTTTCAAGCTGAATTATCCGATTTTTAAGTATAATATGCCGGACTTAAAAATGATTGGCGGAGCTGCACCATGTATATAATAGAGAGGTCTTAATTGACGTTGACCGGTAGACCGGTAACATGCAGCAAACTTCAATTTGCATTTGAACGTAAGCCCCAGGTAAGTTCTACAAGTTTCCGAAGGTTTCGTTTGTTTTTAAACAATTCATTCCTCAATTTTAATGCACAAATTGTCCTAACTTCCAACAGCTTACAGTTGATCTCAAAATACGACTTGAAGTTAATGGTTACCGGTCTGCCGTAAACGTCATTCTTTAAGAGAAATTTAAAACAGAAATAGTTCAATTTCTAAAATAATATTATGGCTTTGTTTTCGTAGAAACTTTTATCGTGTCTGTGGGACTACGTCTGGTTATGGCGTTCAATAAAAACATTTCTTCTGTCTCTGCATTTTAGCCGGTTTCCCCATTCATTTATTTATACATCTGCTACTGGTGGCAATTGACCTGGATCACCAGTTAAAATGAACGATTTCCCTCCAAATACTTTGTCATTAGAACCAGTTGCTTGTTTACAACGCTTGTCTAGCCGGTCTATCCAACCAAAAGTAACTTGGTCAAGCATGGAGTATTCATCAATAATGATGTATCCAATGTTATTAACACTCTCTTGTAACCTACACAAGCTTTGTCCTGTCAGGTCTTTATTACCTCTTGATCCTATAGGTAACTTTAATAGAGAATGCACAGTTACACCTCTAATGTTAAAAGCTGCTTTACCTGTGGTAGCAGCAACAGCACATTTACTTTGCAAAAGATTTCTAATAGCATTAATAAGGTAACTTTTACCAGTTCCTGCAAAACCATTTATAATGAGACATAATGGCTCTTTCTCGGATGATGTATCATCAAAATGAGACTTAACAATATTATAAGCAAGTTTTTGCATTTCACTAAAACTGTTGATGTCAACAACATCATATTGCTCATCAATAGTGTATTCCTCTTTGTTTGTTTTTATCCATGTTGGCATTTCTTGGATTTGTTGTTCGGAATAATTGGCTCTGTCAAGATGCCAGTCATATGTGGACTCTGGTGTTTGTTCAGAGTTGTCAAAAGGAGTGTTGAGGTCTGATAATATCATCCACTCTTCTCGAGTTGTCTCCTGTTCTTCAGAAGGTTCATCTTCTGCTTCTTGACTTTGAATTACGGCTTGTAATTTATCAAACCAGTCTGGGACATTAGACTACCCATAAGGTGTTTGTAAAAATTCATGCCAACAATTGATCAGAACCTCGTCAGTTGGTTCTTGGTCACCCCATGCATTATTTTGGGTTGTTCTCCACGGTTTATACCTCAAAAGTTGGTATTTACAATATAGGACTTTTACAAATTTGGACCTTTGGGATTAGGAGAATATGTTGGAAATATTCGTCGTATAATATTCTCTGGCAATGCTGTCAGTTCATTGTTAACAACTTTGTATGTTGTAGCAAATTGAACAAAGTTCATATTTATTATATTTTGTGAACTGTCATTGTTCACGATTAGCATACACATCAAGAAGTGAATAATCGGTGCATGATTCACCCTCATCAATACTTGCAGTATCACGCACTTTACGTGAACCATTTAAACTAACTGGCATCACTTTAAAGGATGAAGTACAGTTCAGAGATTTGTTGTTGCGACTTCGCAAAGGTGACTCAACAGTACGTTGATGACTGGAAGTTACTTCTGACACATCAACCATCAAATGTCACTAATTTATGTGATTTTGAAGATTCCACTAGACTCTTTTGTAGTAATGAACAAGTTGGTAATTACAACCATGAGCAGCTGACAAAACTTGAGCATCCAATTGCTCATATTAATGCTCGCCATTCATCAGCATTGGCCAAAAAGATATCCTCAGATAGCTCAGATGATATGTTTGGGTTAGAACCTGTTGTGTTTCTAGCAAAAGTTGCTAGGGTCATGTTAACCATGAATTTGTGGTCAAGTGTTGGCCTCTGCAATGGGGCTACTGGAACAGTTGTTGATATTATCTATCAGAACAACCATCAACCACCTGACTTACCTATTGCGGTAATAGTAGAATTTGAAAACTATAGAGGACCTGTTTTTAATGAAAACCAACCATTGTGTATCCCAATATATCCAATCACTGTTACATCACAGACAGAAATAGGTTTCCATGAGAGGCAACAGTTACCTCTTAGGCTTGCTTGGGCTCTAACAATACACAAGAGCCAAGGACTTACACTTCCAAAAGCATGGATAGATATTGGCAAATCTGAAAGGATTGCTGGAGTTTCTTATGTTGCTATATAGCAGAGTAAAATCACTTGCATCTTGTGTCATTGAACCAATGACGTATGAACGATTAATAAGCTTGAAGTCATCAGCTAACTTACAATATAGGCTTGAAGAAGAAAACAGGCTAGATCAGTTAGCACAAGCCACTAACAGTGCATTTAAAACAACAAACTATTGAGTTTGAATAAGAGGGGGATTTCGTATATGGATCCCAGTTATAGTTTGGTATGTACTTTGACTATTAAATAATTTAATTTATTATATAATAACTAATTTACTCCTTGTTATCACTGTATGTATGAAAATATTATGATTTGCAAGACAGAAGAAGGGTAAGTTTTTTTTGTTTGTTTAACCCCTCCCCCTGCCCTACTTTTATTTTCACTCAGTTATGTGCCAGTATGTTTCCACATAAATATCTCATGCTACCAATTATTTCTTTCTATAGTTTTGCAATTCGGACGGATGTGAATGGTGCCATTTTAACTGCTGGATGAAACCAAATCGTTGTTACAGTCAAAATATAATATGGATATATTACTGTTCATCTCGTGAAAATACACTGGATATATTACAATGCATCTAATTGCAATGGAATATGGAATCTGCCATGTATTATTATTAAATAACTGTACTTGTTTCCAATCTACCATATGGATGTCAGGAACATTGTATCTCTACTGTGTCAAGATATTATACATACCTTTATATGTATTGTAACCTAACAAGTTATTGGACAATATCATATCGATCCAACAATGGACACTACCTGTACGTGCTAAATAAATACGAAACATCTGCATATTGGCACTGTCTTGTTTACCAATTGGAAAATACAGTAGACTATTATTACTTGGAAAGAATGTGAAAACTTGCAACAAACTAATCATATCACGTTAAAAGACAGTATGTTTGTTCTTCCTAATTGTGTTCTTCCAGACGTTTTGACAAGTGAACACGGTTTAAAACATTGGTACCAACAATCACATGTGTAAATAAGAAAATCCGAAGTACAATTTACAGTATCTAATAATTATTGCATTATTAAACAAAATAAATTCATACATACAGTGTATTTATAGTATAAGGCAATTTAAATAAATAAAGTTTTTTGGGATAATCAATCCCCAAGACTTTGGGTAGAAAGGCAGCACTTCCCTTGCGATAGTAACATCTAGTTTATACACGGGGTATTTTATCTTAATTTGCGTTTTCGTTTCCTCGTTCATTTAATTAAATTAAAGGAGAGGTGCTGTTGCGTAATTTTTAAATGACGTCATTTTGCTCAAGTTCAAGTTCTTGCGTACGTATAATAATTAAACAGGTTTACGTTTTGTATCATCATGTCATTCATTGACCCTTGCTGGACATTTCACAAATAAATGAAATCAATATTTCGATGAGGCAGTCCAATAACCAAACAAACAGATCAAACAAATTCGCTTTGATGGGACGACTTTGAAGACCACTGTGGTCCGCTGAGTCGTGTGTATTAGTATTAATCGTTATAATCAATGAAACAATCGATCGACTATGAAAATGAGTATGAGGTGCAGCTCTAAATAATTACCACCATCACGTCCAATCGACACAAATTTTGGGAAGTTTATGACGGAAAATATTTTTTCTGGTGGGGTAATTCGCATGAAAGTCGGGTAAATTTTTGTCCTAGTTATTCCTCCCGTACGCCTACGAGTATATACTTATATTTATATCATTGACAGCTGTTCCTGTCCAATAGGACATTTAGTTTCACCCACTCTCCGGCTCACGCCAAATAGGCAAATACCTAGCAGACCAGACGCACGGAAGCGACTTCGACACGAATTCTCCGAGAGTGCTCTCATTGAATAGTGGAATATTTTAGTCAATATTTCATCTTTTCCAATGTCAAAGGCTGCATGCTTTATAAGGTCTGATTTGTCTGGAATGTCAATGCACTTTGCAACTGTTAAAAACAATCCTACCCGTCCCGATATTTAACCGCGTACCTACCAAAAATACTTGTGGTATAAACCGGACAAAAATGGCACGAGTGCATGACTTTCAACCGGCATCTGTTCCAGAGGGGTGATTAAAGTTCATCGATGTTACAGAGAATCCAAATTTTGAACAGATATAATTGAATCAGTAGTGATAAATTTATCAAAGACATCAAGGTATGCCTATAGTTGTCTCCTCATTGGGTGGCCTCACCCCTTACATACAACTGTATATATATATATATATATATATATATATATATATATTTACATACAACTGTATATATATATATATATATATATATATATATATATATATATATATATATATATATATATATATATATATATATATATATATATATATATATATATATATATATATATATATATATATATATATATATATATATATATATATATATAAATAGATAGATATAGATAGATAGATAGATAGATAGATAGATAGATAGATAGATAGATAGATAGGTAGATAGATGTACTAATATATTCTAATATAATTATATAGCTAATATATTCAACACTTGAGCACTTTTTGCCCGCCACCCGCAACATTTTACAACATAAGATAATCGTTTTATTTAAGTAAGACGTCTGGAGATAATATAAGTATGCCATGACTTTCCGGTCTGTTTAAAAAAAATTAACTCTTGTCTCTTGCATTGTTTGTTACATTTTCACGGATGAGTTCGGATGATTTAAACTGCAGGTTGCAGGTTGGTGCGGGTTTAATAATCAAGATACCTTTGGCCTTATGCCGTTTTGACAATAAAATCATAAACTTAGCACACAGCCAACCCTATAAACTTGGGGTCTTTATCCTAACCAATACTCAACCATCAACCTGCACCAACTTTTCAACCTGAATTCCGAGTGGTGTGGATAGCGGCGTGAAGTAACCATCAAGTCCAAATAACAATTTCGATTTCTTTTTTTGATAAGAATTTTTAATAACAATTCTTTGTTTACGAGCACTCTACCTTTTAATGTTTGGACATTTTTATATACATTCCAACAAAACCGCATATTTGAATATATTTTAGTATTCTAATGAGCCACACCTAACCTCCCACGTTTCCTCGTCAGTTTTCTGATATTGCATGAACATAGTCACGAGTTATCGGATCCGAGTCAGTGATCAAATGTGTGAAGTGCACTTCCGCTTTAATTCAACAAGTATTAGCAATCTATAATCACTAGTAAAATTGAACTGAGAGAGAGCCGTGATAGCATGATATTATATATCGCTGAACGCAGAGAGAAGGAGAGAGAGAGTCATGATATTCAGTGCATGCGTTGATACAAGCATACGGTAAATGAACTTAGCCTAGTTCCTGCCTTTCGCTTCTGCGATGCTAGCCGCGCTGGGGAGAGACGGGAAGCGATAAGGCCTAGCACAATTCGCAAATCTGCCCTTCTTAGATCCATTTTTGCCCTTCGAGCGGCTCTAGGCCCTATATATTTACATCGATGTCTTAGCATAACTTTAGGAATGAACAAGAACAATGAAGATATTTCGATATGAAAGGAAATACATGTACTGGCAGGTTGGGTAAGGTTACCTTATGAATTCAGGACTAAGACCAAATTGACGAATTTCACTAGGCCTTCTCCCGTGTTCAAAACTGATCCAGTCACGTGGGAAGGGCTGGGGCTAGGCTACGATACTGACTGTTGTAACGTTTAGTTCAAACCAAGGTGCTACCGAAATACACTAGCCTACGTCATATACAAATACACCCACTCTTTATCATATGCACCCACGTACTCGTTGTCAAATTCCAGAAGGTGTCAGGAGGGGCTAAGTATTCTTGCCAAGAATTTCAACAATCTTCCGGGACGACGTGAAGGCAAGGAGGGGCTCATTTTTATGGTGGAGCGGGTTCATTTATTTTGACTGATTCCTCCCCCCCCCCGACAATATTTTTTTGGAAATGTTGCAATAAAAATCACCAAAATTAACGATCTCGTACTATATGTACATTTCCTCCATAGAAATAGTGGATATCTATTATTTTTATGATTTCCCTGAAAATTAAAATCGTATTTTGATTCGCGATTTTGTGTTCATGCGGCGAACATTTTATGATTTTTAATGATTTTTTTAAAACATCTCAAATATTTTCCTAAAATCAAAAAGGGCACCTTTGCCTGAGTGAGGATTTATCAGATCTTGTATGTGAAAAATTAATTTAGAATATTATAAAATATGGCGTCAGCATTTCGATGTAGGGTTATACCACAGAATAGTATTTTGTGGTTATACACCGGTGCGCTTTTTTGGCTGAGTCGACCTTCTGCAGTTCTATTCTGTGGTATGACTGTAAGCCGTTTGGTTGCATGGTTCCCCTGTTCTTTAGGGATTTTTCTCCGTGTCTGGATTAAACTAAACTGAACTAAAGTATAACTTAACGCTTATAAATAACCAGTGAGTGGGGGCCAATGAAATCTTGCAAAACAACAAAATATTGGTCATATCCTCATGTTCGTGTACAATAAGGTTATAGGATTATAGGATGGGTTTGCAATTGGGGTGAAAATCAAAGACAAATATCTTTGTGAAACCATGGATTGTAAAATAACTTTATTTATTTTATTATCCATGGTGAAATCGTGAGGATACTGACCGAAATATCAGCTGGTACCAGGTTGGGGGTGCTCAGAAAATATCTTTCAGCAGATGTCTTATTTGATGACCCTATTTGGAAAACCAACGCATCAGCTGATAAATTGTATTACAGGAGAGTGTGCTCGAGGCACCGGGAAATGTTCAAAGTTTTCAAAAATAAAGTACGCAAATATTGCGCCATGTTGTCAGGGTCCATTGTGAATATAAATGACAGTCACACCTGTTCTCAGTATTTTTGGTGAAACTCCTTCATATTCCCGGGAAATTCCGCGTAATCCGTCATACGTGAAATTCCGGCATGTTAATTCCGTGATATTCTCGGCGTTCCAGGTCGCGTGACTGCCAACTCTCTTGTTTCCGCGAACGGTTTGACCGACCAGATTTTGCCCCCGTTTACACTATACCGGATTGCTATCGGAGCGGGTCAAATTTTGTAGGTATTGAAAGGCTGTAAAGATTTTTAATCTCAGAGACCCAAATAAACATGCCCATTCTGTCAAACTAATAAGCATTTGCTACTAACCATTGCTCCTTAATTAACGGCAAAAGAAGATGTCGTAACGAGCGAAATCCTAGGCTAGCGAAGTCTAGCGAACCGGACCGGTCGGCTGTCCCAGCGATATCTATCCCACAGTGCAATTCGTGCAAATCGTGTAGATGAACTTCCGCTAAATTTTCCCGTCTGTGGTGCATCAGAAATTTGGCAATCAAAACAGGGGAAACATATTTTTAGTTGTATGGTTCAACTTCCCAGACGTTTTATGTATACTCATCCGCCGTTATGGATATCATACAATGTAATCTTCTTGTCAAGACCAAGCGAAAGGTAAATGTTGTTATTATTTGCCAACAAAAGACCACAAACGAGAGAATATATTCACTAATCTGTGCTCTAACCTTGATTTTATTCAGTGGAAGAATCGCTGGGTCGTTTTACGGCGTGTAAACCCAGGATCTGGTATGTATAACCATACTTTATTATCTAAGTGTAAACCTTCACTCGAGATTAAAATACATAGACGAAGTGAATGCTTAAGCTGTTGTTCGTTAATGGACTTAAATCTCTGCTAATATGCAACCGCAGTTTTAGACAAGGAAAGTCGCAGTAATTCACACATACTCTTACGTTCTACTTCCGCACTTCTAGACTACATTTATAAATCGTTTAATGATAGCAGGACAGCAGTGCATGGGTTGAGTACAAAACAAACTTATTGTGTCTGTATTCTGTTCTACATGTTGTCGCCAAGAGTTGCTGAAAAACAATACAGTCTCTAATTACTCGAACATTATCAAGACGACATTTTAATATTCATTAAATTTGTATTTATAGCTGTCTTCCCTATTAACTTCGTAGTAAACATGGCAGGGAAATCTTGTTGTTTTCTCTGTACCATTTTGTATGGATTCCTAGCTGACCTTTCGGACAAAAATTGAAGATGTTCATTTGAATAATAAATTGTTTTAAAGTCGTAAACACAAGCTATTGTGGAGACGTCAATGTCACGCGAAGTGAATGCTTATCAAGTGATTCTTAGGAATTTCTGACTCAGCATTTAAAGAAAATTTACGTCAACGGATTTATACTTTACTTTTTTAGTTTTTTATATAAAATATGTCAGTGTGTGGCGACTCTCCTTTTGTCTTGTCTATAGTTTGATAAGTTATGTCTATAATATCTGAAGTACACAAAGTAATTTGCAATATCTGAATTATATTATATTAACAACATATATTTATTTACCTATGCCACCTTAATTTGCCTTCATTAGTGTTCTAATTGCCAATAAGGATATTACTCCAGACTTTCCTGTTTTCTAATTGGCCAAATATAACAAATTTAAATGAAAACTAAATTCAGTTTTTGTTTGCTATGCAGTATAAACTATAAACTTCAACAGAAAGGACCATAGCCAAGATGTAACATTGGTACAATCAATCTGTTTAAGGCCAGAGGCTGAGAATTTCCAGGGGGATCTAAGGGCTTACAGTTACTGAAACATTTGGATAATCTGAGAGCTCCAAAAATGCTATTTTCAAAAATATAAGCCCTCCTAATATAAGCCCCCCCCCCTAATATAAGCCCTCCTAATATAAGCCCCCTGTGTATAAGCCCACCATATTTACTAAGGCTGAAGTCCCCCCATGTATAAGCTTTATAATGGGCAAGTATTTATTAGCATTTCGTTCAATAATTTTACAAAAAAACTTATTCTTTCTAGTTTAGTAATTATCTTTCAACATGTCATGGACGAATCTTTGATGTAACTTCGGTCCATCCAAATTATATATATATATATATATATATATATATATATATATATATATATATATATATATATATTATATATATATATATATATATATATATATATATATATATATATATATATATATATATATATATATATATATATATATATATATATATATATATAATACAATAATAAATCGTTGTCCGTTGTACAAAAAGAGTGCTCAATAACAAATTTAATTGATAGAGCAAAATTAATAAAACGACAAAGAAAGGTGATATGGTTTAACCCGCCCGTCAGTAAGAACGTTAAAACCAACGTGGCACATAGCTTCTTACAACTCATCGACAAGCACTTCCCACATTCAACTCGACTCCATAAAATCTTTAACCGGAACACTGTGAAAGTGAGTTATTCCTGCATGACCAACATTAAGAACACTATATCCAACCACAATCGACATCTACTGGTAAGAAAGAACAAATCTTTCGATGGATGTAATTGCCGCAACAAGGACGAATGCCCTCTCAATGGTAATTGTCTTACGAAAAGCATCGTATATAAGGCTGAGATTACAACAACAGACGTCGGTGAAACGAAAGAGTATATTGGTATGACAGCAGGGAGGTTTAAAGCAAGATATGCCAACCACAAGAAATCCATCAACTCACCTCGCTATTCAAACGAAACCGAACTTTCTAAGTACGCATGGAAGCTAAAACAAAGTAACCGACCGTATACTATAGTGGTCGGTTTTGTCGCATGCATCAGCCTATACAGCAGGTGCAAATTCTTGCAACCTTTGCTTAGAGGAGAAGTTTTATATCATTAAATCTCACAAAGATAGGACGTTGAACAAACGAACAGAACTATTTTCAAAGTGCCGCCACAGAAACTCATTTAGCGCACGGAATTTTAAACGCACGCGCGCATGATGCAATCGCATCAGCGGACCGTTGAATGAATGGCGCAAGCAAACTATTTAGAGTAGTATCGCCTGAAGATCGCTTTGAAAGCGTGAAACACTGTGTAGCGATTATATATATATAATATACCAGATGATCTTGATCTATATATACCAGATGATCTTGATACGCGGAAAAGTACTGGCACTAGTTGTCACATAGAAATCCATTTTATGATTAAAACAACTGAATATCTCCTGTAATATACTTTATTTCGATTCCATATTTTTGTCAGAGCTATAGTTCTCATAACCAAACATAATTACAAAAATTTCAACTAGTTTCATAAAGAATAACGAAAGATATAATTGACTGAATATATCAAAATGGATTTCTATTCGGACAACCCTTTCTGAGCGCTGATTGGCTAAAATACGAACACGAGATCACCTGTATATATATATATATATATATATATATATATATATATATATATATATATATATATATATATATATATATATATATATATATTAAGATAAAAATGTTCTAGAGTGTGTATTATATAATTTCCATACCCAGCGCAAGCAGAAAGATGTTGTCTGCCGCGGCTGGGTCTCGAACCCGCGACCTTCGAATTACCCGGATCGACGCTCTACCTACTGAGCTACACGGTCAGACGGATTTAAGACTGGAAATTATGAAATATATACTGAATGTCATAAACATACTCGTTTATATTAATTCAGCATCGAACAATACTAGTTCTACAAGTGTTATATGTTAGTTGTGTTATTTTACACTCCGTAATATGTTAAGATGATCTAGTAATTCGAAGGTCGCGGGTTCAAGACCCAGCCGCGGCAGATAACATCTTTCTGCTTGCGCTGGGTATGGAAATTATCTAGAACACTTTCATCTTAACATATTACGGAGTGTACAATGTCCGTAACATATTACGTAATATGTTATTTATTAATAACATATTACGGAGTGTACAATATATACTGGACCTATCTTGCTGTTTGTCATGACGAGACAGACAGCTCCAGGTTCGCAGCTCCAGGTTCGCGAACCTGGAGCCAGCTCCAGGTTCGATTTCAACCTGGAGCTGGAACGACTAGTTTGTAAATAAACTGCTTTGGCCGCTTAACCACTAATGGAAATCAAATTTTTTTGAAAGACCATTTTTACTTGTCATATTCCTTAGTACGTGAGGGAAAATAAAGACATTATTCCGTTCCGTTCGTCCATGGTAGCTTGTGAAAGATCACTGTTTTTTCTGACAAAGGGGCTGGTCAGCGGTGGGATAGATCGCAAAGCTCGTTTAAAACCTTATTTTTTTACCTTTATAACGAAAAACGTAAAATTTTGATTGATGACCATTCTAGAGAATGTATTCAAAAGTAATGTCAAGCGTTGAACTTATTTCCATATCGCGAAACCGCGATAAATAACTCGTGCAAAGTTGAACTGTCTAATTTCACGCAGGGCCCGGTTGTGTTAATTTTATCCTTCCGTAAATACAACAACTTTGGTATCCGTACATTTACGCTTTATATGAGTAATAATTTGATATGTTAATGACATAATATCATTTGTTGCGCTTTTCTGAAGAACTAACGATATAAACATGCTTAATATCCGAAACACACGACGCAAACAAGATCGCTAAAAATGGTGTTATTATGCGGCTCAAGTCGTCGAAAGGCCACAACATGTCAAATACATCTAGCATCGTCTAAATTGCTTGGCAAATTTCTTGCTAATTTCGCCCTGCGACGAATTTCTAAAATATGACCCTTCTAGACTAATATTCATACTATCATATTTTACAGCATTTGAAACTTTAGGATACATATCCACCATGAGCAACTCATGAAAACACTAGCATTCGTTACCGAGATGAGAAATCAACTTTCAAGAGATGTGAAATATTAAACGTAAACAATAAACACGTCATCAGCTGGCACGTGCCGGACATTTGATAATCTCAGGGGAAAACCGTATTAACTATAATGTCGGCATGCAAATGCAATAAGGACATGGCAAGGCATTTAAGAGTGCCGAGGAATAGGTTTATAGGAACAAGGCAATTTTCCTTGTTTAGGTATGCGCTGTATTTTTTCAATACATGAAAAAACACAACGCTTTTTCACAAAGATAAAATATTTTTAAAACATGCGTAGGTTTGAATTTGCGATTGCGCTGATTATGTTAATTAAGAAGGCTTAAAACACACCCCTCCTATTAATTAACTTATACGGGCAAAAACGATGTTTTTAGCTCACGTGTTAAAAAAAGAATACAGCGTATATAAACCTATGCATGACATTATAGTTGATACGGTTTTCCCCTGAGATTATTAAATGTCTTGCACGTGCCAGATAACACGGAATATTGTTTAGGTGTAATATTTCACATCTCTTGAAAGTTGATTTCTCATCTCGGTAACGAATGCTAGTGTTTTCATGAGTTGCTCATGGTGGATATGTATCCTAAAGTTTCAAATGCTGTAAAATATGATAGTATGAATATTAGTCTAGAAGGGTCATATTTTAGAAATTCGTGGCAGGGCGAAATTAGCAAGAAATTTGCCAAGCAATTTAGACGATGCTATATGTATTTGACATGTTGTGGCCTTTCGACGACTTGAGCCGCATAATAACACCATTTTTAGCGATCTTGTTTGCGTCGTGTGTTTCGGATATTAAGCATGTTTATATCGTTAGTTCTTCAGAAAAGCGCAAGAAATTATATTATGTCATTAACATATCAAATTATTACTCATATAAAGCGTAAATGTACGGATACCAAAGTTGTTGTATTTACGGAAGGATAAAATTAACACAACCGGGCCCTGCGTGAAATTAGACAGTTCAACTTTGCGCGAGTTATTTATCGCGGTATCGCGATATGGAAATGAGTTCAACGCTTGACATTACTTTTGAATACATTCTCTAGAATGGTCATCAATCAAAATTTTACGTTTTTCGTTATAAAGGTAAAAAAATAAGGTTTTAAACGAGCTTTGCGATCTATCCCACCGCTGACCAGCCCCTTTGTCAGAAAAAAACAGTGATCTTTCACAAGCTACCATGGACGAACGGAACGGAATAATGTCTTCATTTTCCCTCACGTACTAAGGAATATGACAAGTAAAAATGGTCTTTCAAAAAAATTGGATTTCCATTAGTGGTTAAGCGGCCAAAGCAGTTTATTTACAAACTAGTCGTTCCAGCTCCAGGTTGAAATCGAACCTGGAGCTGGCTCCAGGTTCGCGAACCTGGAGCTGCGAACCTGGAGCCGTCTGTCTCGTCATCTGTTTGTCCGCCTTTGTTAGATATTTTGCTGTATATACAAATGTAGTTTAGCGGGAAATTTTAAACGATATTAATGAATTAAATGGAGAGTATTGATAAGGATTCGTCAAAATCGTGTAACGCGCAAGATACACCGTCTGATGAGAGTCGCGAGACTGCACGCGTGCTACTGTTGTTTACAAACAATATAACAATGCACGGAAAGTATTACATGTAACCAGACACAGTTCTATAATGCCCTAGTATCTTCTAGGGACAAACCTATAAAACAAACCGGTGCCCTAGTGTCTTCTAGGGACAAACCTAAAACAAAGTAAAAACCGTCGACACTAAAGTGCATGACAGAATAAATAGTTGCATATTGACAACAGTTTGTCCTGAAGCTGGATTTCAAGGCCCCCCCCTCCCCTATTGGCAGACCCCTCCCCCCCCCATTGTTGAAACCCGTCGGAAAATTGGAAATTTGTTATGTTGTCGAATCGATACGTAAGAAAAATTATTTCAAAGTATGTGTAATAAAATGCAAGTCGACATGAATGTATCGATAGGAAATGTAAACAATTAAATATGCAGCGTCAGCAGCAATAAAAATAATTATTACCTTAGAGATTACATCAAGTAAATATGCTTGTGATTCCGCATAAACGTACAAACTCACAGACAGAATCAGTAAAGCCGGTGTCAAACTTGGACGGGCACCGCAATTTAAAGCCATGTAACCTTGGGGCTGCGGCTATGTTTTTTACGTTCGAAAAAAGTTAAAATGCATGCTTGGTCGTTCGTGCGTACGTGCGTGCGCGCAGTATGTATACACATATACTGTAGACAAAGTAACTTGAATGCAAAGAATATCATTAAGAAGTAAACTCTGTGTTCTCAGTGTCATTTACAGTGAAGCATGTGAACTTTTTGAATAGAACAAGCGTAAGATATTGGAATCGTAACGCGCCGGTTAATAAAATCCAAGCACGCAATTACGCTAATATTGTACATGTTTAAGATCAAATTTCGCCAAGACACAAAAGAATCCCAAACATCTGAAATCGTCGTCGAATGACTACATCCTAGCCCTAACGAATTATGCATATGTACCTTTATAAAGAAAGTAGGACCATTTTTAAATAGGCGATTTCCAAGACGTACTTTGGCTAGTTTGGAGAACCCGGAAATTTCAACCATCTTTGATCTAAAATAACCAAGTCAATAACATTTCGATTTATGGAGAAAAGATATCACAAGAAAGTTCCATATATTCTAAAAACATATATTGGAACAGCAGACCAAAACTTATAATGCGCGCTCAGCACAGCACATGATGTTTACTGCTTTATTTAGCGACATTTCTTGGACATTTCGCGTCATTTTTGGTTCGATTTTTGAAGTACTCTAACTTTTCTTCATTTTGTGTTTCATGGCTGAAACTTCAGTAAATATGTGGGGTTGGATAGGTCTACAATATATATAAAATCGAGGGAAATTGAAGAACTTTCAGTTTTTCATATCTGCCAGAAAATGGTGAATTATTGCGATTTTTACAGACAAGCTCTCTTAACACTTCAGGTTGAGAATCAGATACTTCGTTAAAATCACTTTTGTAATCTTTGAAATAGTGAGCAGCAAATAAAGCTAAACACATCTCATTAACGACAGGAATGTTTTTTGGTCTGTCACTGTAACGGACAATAATGTTAGACTTAAAAATGTCAGTACTATAATCATCTAACTCGTCAAGTTCTTGTTGTTTCTTCCCAAATCTAACACGATTTTCAGCAAAATCTGTGGTAACAAAGAGGGTTTTCGGGAATATTTTTCTTAACCAGAGTTCAGGCATGCACCTGTAAACGCATTCTTGAGCACTGACTTCACGAGTCGAAAGAAAAGCTACACCTATTTTTCTTAGACCAGGGGCGGATTTAGACCGTTGCAACTGTAGCATATGCTACGGTCAGATTTTCCATAGGCCAGTTTTAACATGGATCAGAAAATCAATCTAAAATATAATTTAGGAATATTTTGTTTACTTTCCTTGTTTATATTTCAAGGTTTTATTTTATTTAGTTTTATATGTTTAAAACATTTTATTTTGACAAATTGATGACATTGATACGTCACGTTAATTGTTTTAAGAATTCCCGCCCGAAAATACGCTTGTAATTGCCCGTTTGCTGGTCATTACACAATGGACTATAGCTTAGAAAATAGTCATCCTTCAGAAATACACCGTAGCGTGTTGCCCACATATGATCAATTTTCGCTACGGTCAGATTCATTAAGGTCGAATCTGACCGTAGCGAAAATTGGCATATACGGCATTCTGATTGGTTTGCTACGGTCAAACGTAGCAAACCAATCAGAATGGGGCAAATGCTATAGTTTGCTACGGTGGCATGAAATTGGCTACTGCTCCAGAACGATGGAATATCTGATATTTGTGTTTGGCTCATCAACAACATGCTATTGGGAACCCACAGTATGGTTGTGCGCATTTCGAATCAAATGAAAGCCGTCGTAAAGCTAAAGAATATATACGCGTCGAGGCAGAAATAAAATCAGATAGTAAAATGAATCATTTCCAGTCAGGTAAGCCTGATGAATAATAAGAGATGCACATTAATATTTTAATTTGAGTTTTTACTGTATTAGTATAGTGTTCGATATTAACTTCGCTTTATTAAAGTGTTTGTGCGCGCATGTACAGTATACCTGCATGTATTGGAATTAATACGCGAATTATAATACGCGCGTATATATATCGTGTTGTATAGCGCCCTAATATTTCTTTGTAATGCGTATATATTCGTATAAGATACGCCTATTCGCATGATACGCGCGTTCATAGGATACGCGTATTCGTATGATACATGCGTTCGTAGATGATACGCGTATTTCGGTATTCAATTGATAATGATATGCGTATGATACGAGTATCATACCGGTATCGTATGTTAAGATATACGCGAGCGATACTTTACATTTTGAGATCATTCCGGCTTATTTTTGCTTGAGAAATGAATACAATGAGGACAAATTTAATGGTCACATGCAGTGCTCAGAACGCAGGAAATGGCATTTCCGGGCTTCAAATTTCAAAAATTTTCCGGGGGGGCATGCCCCCGGACTCCCCTAGCTATGCGAGGTCTTTGAAGATGCTACGGTCAGATTTTTAGCTGGATCCGCCCCTGAGATGTCTCTTACATTTAAGTTGGCTTCTTTAGCTTCTTTTTCTGCATTTATGATGGCTTGAGAACATTCAGTTTCATCCTTTGTAAAGTAAGAACAAACGTATGTGATACACTTGTAATGATTAAACACTGGTTGCAAGTCAACATTTGCGGCAAACCCTTTTAACCCAGCAATAAAGTAATTGTTGATAAAACAACTATCTATTGGTCTTTTGAGGTGCAATTCATAGTCAGAATCAGGAGATAATGATATAGCCCATTGATAGTCTTGCTCTGTAATATCTATATCATTTAGGATGTCAGTTGGAGTTGCATGTGGATCATAGGTAGGTTTGCTTGGGTTTAGCACATCATCAATTTTTTGTTTAACTTTAGACAAAATTTCCTTTCGTCTAGTTAGAATGTTGGATTTAATCTCCTCATTCATATCTTCAGCCAAAGGTTCAGCAACAATTGTTCTGTCAGTAAAAAACTGTCCAAAGTTAAATCTATACGTAACATTCTTATACTTTCTACAGGTTTTACTGTGATTATGTGTCTGGTATGTTTTCACCAAGTCATAAAGTTGAGGATCTGTTTCTTTGTCTGGAAGGTATGCTTGTACATGTTGGTCAATGTAATCTATGTATGCATCTTTTGTATCATTCGTTAAGTCTGGGCAATCAGATGTCCATATTAAGGCATGCAAATGTGGGGAACCTCTCATTTGAAATTCAATACGGAGTGCATAATATACTATCTTTCCAATTGGGTTTGCATTTGTAAGCCAAACATCCCTGAAAAATGTTTTGACTCGATACTGGAAATGTTTAGCTACAATAACTGGATTTAAATTTAACATTGAGCATCGCTCATGATAGGACAGAGCCTCTACTTCTTCAGTTGTTATGTTGTTGCCTTTTGTTCTTGCAATAATCTGAAATAGCTCAGGCCATCTTAAGTCTGCACATGAAAGCGTCATAAACCATGTTCGTATTCCCAGTTGTTTAACCATTGCTACCACTTCATACATGAATTTTTGCCAGAAAGGAGGTGAGCCAGGAATTTGTCGTAAAAACAAATATGCTTGGTCTTGCAAAAGAAGATTTTGAAAAGCTTGACTGTTTGATTTTACTTGTGATGCTGTGACTGAATGCCCATGTATTTTTTTAAGAGCTTTATTTATACTATCAGAGATCTTTTTCTGTTCCATAATGAATTGTGCAAAGAATAGATACTCTGGGTTGGTTGCAAATTTCCCACTAAAATGGAAGAGGCGAGCATTGAAATATTTTATTGGAGATAATTTTATGTCTCGTTCAACGGTGTACCCAAATCGTCCTTTTGGAAAGAGTACTGGAAATAAAAGTTCCTCACAAAGCTTATCAGTCATCAACGATACTGGGTGTTTACCTTCACCTGGTGCAATGTTGATAACTTCTCTACCTGTTGAATTATCACAGTTTCTATTGCCCACGTTTACAGGATAATTTGGCAAGATGGATTGAAGACAAGTTTCAGTTGCAGCTGAACGGTGTTCATTTAATGGATCATCTTGTTCTTCAGTATCTTCATTAAGAAGTTCTCTATTTACATTGGTTTGCAAATGCTCGTCTATACTTTCTTGATCTGTAACAGGACAGTTCAAATTAGTCAACTCTGGGCTGATGTTGTCACATTGAATTTCAATGTTTCTATATAACGGATTGTTTGCTATAAGCCAGTTTAATGCACTAATTACAAACTGAGGGCGAACTGCTTGGAAGTAAACATGACCTCTAAATTGAAGTTTCCTTTTTAATTTGAGTAAAATTATCCCAGATCTGTCAGGTGGTCTGGGAAGAACGTTACATGTTTGACTACATTCAACTGGTACATTACATATTGCACCTTTAATTTTTCTTTGTTGTCCTTTCGGCATTATTACAATTTTTTCAAAGACTATTCTCTGTGCAATGAGAATTTGTTCAAGTTTCTCTAATGCAGCAAGTTCAGTAGGGGTTTCATCAACAAATGAATTGTTTACCACAGCTTGACAAGGCTGTTGACCTTTAAGTAATTTAGCATGGCATGTTTTGCAGATGTAATTTTTGCCATCAAAAGAACATTGAAGCACAAAACAATCCTGGCGAGGATATTTATTTTTCTGTAGGATTACTACTGACTTTTTATATAATGTTCGGTTACACACACAGCATATGTAAAATGGGCCAGATTTAATTTGTTTTTTAAATTTTTCAATGTCATGAATTTGAGATTTCTTTTCCATCCGTTTTTCTTTCAACTCCTTTTTCTTTGATATATCCACTTCTTGATATTTGGCTCTCGTGTTCTCTAATAGTTTTTGTTCTTTCCTTATTGTTTCCTTATAATTCATATTTTTAGAAAGCAGTTCCTCTTTCTTTGATTGATCCATTGCTTCATATTTAGCTCTTTTATTCTCTTGTGTTTTTCGCTTTTGTTCTTTACTCATTGTTTTTCTATAATTAATATTTTTAGTAAGCAGTTCTTCTCTCCTTGATTGATCCATTTCTTCATATTTTATTCTTTTATTCTCCAGTATTTTTTGCTTTTGTTCTTTACTCATTGTTTCCCTATAATTCATATTTGTAGTAAGCAGTTCCTCTTTTTTTGATTGATCCATTTCATTATATTTTGTTCTTTTATTCTGCAGTATTTTTGGCTTTTGTCCTTTATTCATTGTTTTTCTATAATTCATATTTTTGGAAAGCTGTTATTCTTTCTTTGATTTATCTAACTTTTCATATTTTCTTTTTTTTTCCAATATTTTTTGTTTTTTCTCCTGAGCCATTGTTTTGTACTTCATCTGCTTTGTTTCTAGCTTATGTTTCTTCAGAGCTGGTTCAATGAAGTCATTTATATAGCTTTGCCTGTGGTTTTTCATAATCCTTTTTCTTTCACAGTTACTCAATTCAGAAGAACAAGACAAAAATTGAATTTCATAATTGACAATTTCATCCTCGATTTTGGTGGTTACTAGGCTAAAGATAGTATCAACTAAAGTGTGCTTGTCTTTTATATTTTTAATGTAATGTGCAGTACATGTAGGTGAGCTATCATCATCGTCATATGCTAATATTGAGTACGACATATTGTTAATGGATGTTTTTTGAAAGATGCAAGAAATACAATAAAATTGTTAATGGATGTTTTTTGAAAGATGCAAGAAATACAATAATCTCCAAACCAAATTAAAAACCCTGTATTTTCATTTATATGACAAATAAGGCTTTCAATGTGTAGTTTGCTTTTTGCCTTGTCATAAACTACTCCTTGAATATTAGCTTGCAATTTTACATGTATTTTATTTCCACATATTTCAACTTTTTGTGGTATATCACGAGATGTATTTATCCCAGTGTTGTTATACAAAATAGTGCCAAAGTAAACAACTGCGGCCACTGTATTTGAATCCCAGTAATTACAAGGTTTAATGACAGAATAACAAATCGAGTATAATGAAATTGCACAGCATTGTTTATATAAACAAGAAACGTCAGTACTTTCAGATTCTTCTGAAGCATTACCTGATAGGGCAGAATTTCTAATTTTTTTGTTTAAGTTCTGGTCACTATTGGCTTGTACTTCTTCAATATTTATTGCTCTTACCTCAAATTGACTATTTTCATTGTATAAAGACTGGAAATACTGAATTACATTGTTGATATTTGGTGCTTCCAACAACACACATGTACCTTGTGGATGACTTCTGCCATAAATATCTCTTGAATGAGAGTCCAAAAATTTTATAATTGCCATCATTGGTGTAAAATATGCAAACAGCATTAGAGTCAATTGTTAAAATGAATGCAGAATAGTTTTCAGCCAGGAGCAATTCAAATGATCTGTGAAATGGAACACAGTACTGATACCCTTCAATAGAACAGTATCCAATTACATTACCACTATAGCTCTCACTGTACTCAAAAATATAATCTGTGTCAAATACTGTAAGTTGTGAAGGCAATTCTGTAAATAATAAAAATGATTGCCGTGCTAAACATGATAAGTTTGAATATAGTTCATTACCAATATTCATTATATTAACCAGGTCTTGTGGTGAGCATATGTTCTGTTTTTTGTTGCATATAAGGGCACATAAACACATTGCTAAACACTGTTGTCCTGCGGTTTCTCCAAATATAACCTGATTACCTTGGCTATATGGTGCACTGATTGTCTTGCTGGGATCAATATAGAATACGGGTCGAGGATTCGTCTCAATATCTGTACATAATGCTGACTGACAGACATTCTTTAAGTGGTTGACATTTTTGTATACCTGTTGTGCATATAAATCATGAGTCGAACCTGATAAATAGAATATATCTTCAAGAATTCCTTCACAAATATTAAATTTTAAATTTTTTGCTGAACGATTTGTGCGGTATTTCTAGCTTGTGAACCTTCTTTGGGCAGTAAATATCAGGGATAAACTTCATCCTAATGTCTTGACAATGCATAATATTCTCTACTATATAATGAAGATGAGAGGATCTGGGTACAGACCTTTTGATCTTATGTCTGAGACGTTTTCTCAACAATTGACTTTTTCCAAACTTCCTTGTTAACCATTTCACCTGTATTCTACTGGGTTCACGATCACGATGACGCAAATGGCAACCAATGGTAGTAACGTCACTAACATGCTTTTGTGTCCAGACATTATGAAATAATGCATGTCGTGATCGTACTGGGAGTTTCTTTAGGTTGTGTTTTGACAGACATGTTATTTCAATATTCTGGTTATTCAATTTAGAAATACAGTTGCAGCAACTTGATTGTGAGTTTACGTTTGTTTTTTGTATATTTGTCTGTGTATTATTCGTCATTTCAGTGGTACTTTTGATTTCAGTGGTACTTTTGATTTCAGTGGTACTTTTGATTTCAGTGGTACTTTTGATTTCAGTGGTACTTTTGATTTCAGTGGTACTTTTGATTTCAGTGGTACTTTTGATTTCAGTGGTACTTTTGATTTCAGTGGTACTTTTGATTTCAGTAATACTTTTGTCACATTTTTGGCAACTTTTTGTATAGCATTTTTGGCAATCTCTGGTGTTGATATTTGTGGATTCGTGGATAATCGACCCGGTTCGAAATCGCTCAGCATCTTTTAGTATAGGTCTACCACGAATAGGTGCAGAGTCATGCGAGGTGAGCGTATTTGAAAATTAAATCACATTCACTTGCCGTAAACATCGTTGAAAAGATCGCTTTCTTCCCAAAATCAGCGCGGCTAAACGTATTCAACATGCGAACATGCGAAGGTTGCTGTTTCCATGTCAATTTTGGTAAAATTCCTTGTAAAATTGTTCAATATTCCCGAATTTTCCTCAAAGCGCAGGGTTATTTATGGATATTTTGGGTAAAAATTGGCAGGAGCCTTATGGATAATTTGGGTGAAAATTAGGCAGCTCATTAATATTCTATTTTGTGGCTATCGACGAATGCCGAAACCTATACTCGCCCGGGGCACAGGGTGCCCCAGCGAGTAATTAGTTGTATAACAGCATTACAAAATACTGTTAAAAAAAGGCCAAGTGGGCCTTCACTGCTATAAAAGAAATAAAGGACATTCTATTCAATGGCATTCTAGGACCAACATCTCCGTGGCGCCGTTCTCCAAAGCATCGAGCAGCGTGATAAATCATATTGTCTTTTTGACCAACATGAAGTACAGGCATAGCCTTGGAAATGAGTGGGAGAAGATTTTGAGGGAAAAATTTAGCATCTAAACCAGGGTTAGCTTTTACCAGCCATTTTTGAAACAGGTGGATGAGTAGTTGTTCTCGTTGTCGCTATCAATGACATTACCAGCAAAGTGAACAAGGAAAGGTCACTTGATGGAGGCATTCTTAGCATCGGATATCTTGTAGATTTTTAATAAGGTCTGTACAGATTGGAAGGACCGATATTACCTCCAAATTTAGTGATGATACTTAATTCTTGCAGAAAAAATTATTGACAAAAATAGAACCCAGCCAAAATAACGAATCTCAAATCTATTAAAAACATCAGCCAAACAATAAATTTTCACTTATAGAATATTGTTACAGAAGTGCTTTAATTATTTACATACTTTAACTGCAATATATAATCCATAATATATCGAAACTTCAATGGCAGGTCTATATCACATTTATTTAGAAAAAAGCGAGTAATAGCAGTTCATTATCGATCTGAGTGACAAGGCAGCATATTTTACAAAGGGCTATATTCAACGTACCCTGGGTGCCAGAGGTTCTTCCACGCTCGTAGGGGATAATGAGGGATACACGAGGATTCAAGCTTGTCGGCGACGAGCGGGTAGAACCTCTGGAACACGTCTATGGCTTTACTGTTTTAACTGTCACATGTCAATCAAACGTTAGCCAATAGGACAAGTACTTATTTTTGACTGACGATGATTGGGCGTGTTCAACTGAACATTTGAGCGATGGAAATTGCGACAGAATGTGTCAATTTCAAAACAAAAAATTAAAATTAGCGAGTCTTTATAGTAAAATAAACCGAATGATATATGGCCACATGGCATTATACCGTACACCTGTTAAAAGTTATAAAAAAGCGGATCGAGACGAGTATTGTCGAGTTTGTGGTGAATTTGTTATTCACAGTGGGTATTTTAGTATAATACAGTAAAAGGATCGCCGCCTCGGTAGATCAGTTGAACTTTGAAGCATTTCTTGTTCATCATTATTATTATTATTACAATATTGCCTGGTCCCAAAAGGGCTTTTCAGCAGGTAATTACAAATCATTTATATACTAACAAACAATATATATATATATATATATATATATATATATATATATATATATATATATATATATATATATATATATATATATATATATATACACCCACAAACATACGTACATACATACAAACACAAATTAAAAATTTTATAATTGTTAGTAATGTCACTTTAAAAATGATTAACTACTTTCTAATAAAATCCATACAGTAAAAACGTTTACATGCTAATTTAAACAAGTCCAAATTGTCTAAAACTATTAAATACTTTCTAAAAATCCATGCAATAAATGACGTTTATATTCTATTTTAAATTAAACCGGTCCAAAGTGTCAATGTCTTTAATATGATTTGGGAGCTAATTCCAAATAAACACTGCGCGATAATGAAACGTTCGCTGTCCAGAAGCCGAATTATACAGTGGAATGTCTAACTTATCCTTATTTCTGGTTTTAAGACTGTGGATCTTTAATCTCATTTCGAATTTGTCACACAAGTATGGCGGAGCTAACCCTTTCATGCACTTAAATGTCATAACCGCATCCCTGAGTTTTAACATACACTCAACTGGAAGCCAAGCTAAATGCTGAAGAATAGGCGGCGTCACATGGTCATATTTTCTGATTCCAGTAATAACGCGAGCCGCGAAGTTCTGCACGCTTTGGAATTTTGATATATTCTTTTTCGAGGTGTTCGACCAAACGGAGGAACAATAATACATTTTACTGAAGACCAGAGCATTTATAATAAGGGATAAAGTGTGTTTGTCGAAAATATACTTATCTCTGTTGATTTGGCATAATTCAGTGATACATTTTGAGACGGTATCGACAATATGTTTTTCGTAAGTCAAACTTGAATCCAAAGTCATTCCCAAATCTTAAACCGTCTGAAGTGGGATTATTTTCTCACCAAGAACAGTTATATGGAAATCTGTGCCAGAGAGTTTTTTCAGCATTTGACTTGTACCCAGTAATAGAAGTTTCGTTTTCTTTGGATTCACTAGCAGACTATTTATACAGCACCATGCGGTAATTCTTTCCATATCTTGTGTAAGTTTAAACGCAGCAGTTTCAATATCCTGAATTGGAAATGCCAGATAGATTTTCGAATCATCCACATAAGATTCCAAAGACACGGTGGCCCATACGGGCCAACCCTTCACCGTAGAAACTTGCATACACCTTCTCCGTACAAATGTGTTGTTATTCCATGGAAATCAAACTTCTCCGTGGAATATTGCCGTTGTTCTGTCACGGACAGCCTTTTCTCCGTAGAAATATGCAGTTTCTCCGTGGAAACACGCATCTTCTCCGTGGAAACACGCAGCTTTTCTGTGGAAACACCGCAGCTTCTCCGCGGAAACGCGTAGCATTTATGTGAAACACGATGCTGTGGCCCGAACGGGGCATCTCTTCTCCGCAGAAACATGCACCTTCTCCGTAGAAACACGTGCCTTCTCCGTGGATGGGCACTTTCCTTGTGAATTAAAAAAGGCACGCCCCCCTGAATATTTATTGATATTATACGACGGAGAGGGGGGGGGGGAGAGGAAGAGGAAATGAAGTCACAAGTCAACATCGTGGTGAAAACATTTCAAGCCAATTTTATAAATATGAATGCTTTAAATTAATATGGGCACAGATATCCAGCATATAAATTGTGAGAATTGCCAGGCAGAGATTTTGATCGTTTATAGCTTTTGTAACAATTGAGGAAATAGACTTGATACTGGTAAGTATACATACTAGAAAGTTTTACTTTTTTATATTTGTGTTATCATTTTTATTTGTGGATTTATATTTTTATAAATTGAATATTTAAATATACGGCGTATTAATCTGTCAGTCAGTCTCGTAGCGGATCTGCTAGTGTAGGTATTTGTATATCCATATCTACACTAGCAGATCCGCATACGAGACTGACTGACAGATTAATACGGTGTATATTTAAATATTCAATTTATAAAAATATAAATCCACAAATAGAAATGATAACTTAAATATAAAAAAGTAAAACTTTTTAGTGTGTATACTTATGCACCTATCATTGTTTTCCCCCTGAGGGTGGGGGGGGGGGTGCGGGCGACCCAGGGGACTTTAACCACACGATGAAGCAGCAGGGAGGGGAATTTGACCTATGCATCAACTCCCAGAGTCGGGAAATTTTGACATCCGCCATCTTGAAAGTTTGCGCGGTTTTGAAAATAAAAGGCCTGGTAACAGGTATGGCGGAGAAGCACGATCAAGTTTCATCGAAAAAGGTATTTTATACACAGTGTCTCAATTCTTACCAAGTTTAAACCAGTATAGACTGTATGTTCGCATTGGAAAACATATGTGTGTCTTGTTATCTTAGGAATATAGTGGGGAAATTTTGACAGCCGTTCCTTGCCCAACAGTGGGGATTTTGACAAAATTTTAAAAATGTCAAAATTCCCCTGGGTTGCCCGCACCATCCCCCCTCCCCCTCAGGGGGAAGACATTGATAGGTGCATTACCAGTATCAAGTCTATTTCCACAATTGTTACAAAAGCTATAAACGATCAAAATCTCTGCCTGGCAATTCTCACAATTTATATGCTGGATATCTGTCCCATATTAATTTAAAGCATTCATATTTATAAAATTGGCTTGTAATGTTTTCACCACGATGTTGATTTGTGACTTTATTTTCTCCCCCTTCCCCCGTCGTATGAAACCAATAAATATTCAGGGGGGCGTGCCTTTTTTAATTCACAAGAAAAGTGCCCATCCACGGAGAAGGCACGTTCGGGCCACCGCATCGTGTTTCACATAAATGCTACGTGTTTCCGCGGAGAAGCTGCGGTGTTTCCACAGAAAAGCTGCGTGTTTCCACGGAGAAGTTGCGTGTTTCCACGGAGAAACTGCATATTTCTACGGAGAAAAGGCTTTTCGTGACAGAACAACGGCAATATTTCCGGAGAAGTTTGATTTCCATGGAATAACAACATATTTGTACGGAGAAGGTGCAAGTTTCTACGGAGAAGAGTTGACCCGTATGGGCCACCGAACAAAGAGGACTCTTTTGGAACATTGGGCAGGTCATTAATATATATGTTAAATAATGCCGGCCAAAGAATAGATTCTTGAGGTACCCCTCGAGTTATAATACATGTTTCCGACAATGTCGACCCAATACGTACTATTTGGCTTCGTCCCGATAGATAACTTTTAAACCATGCCAACACTGATTTAAACACACCAATGGTTTGAAGTTTCACCAGTAGAATTGAATGATCTATGCTATCAAATGCTTTGGATAAGTCTATTAAAACTAAGGCCGTAACTTCTTTACGATCCATAGACTGCAAGATTTGATCTGTTATAAAAATGTTTAATGTTTCTGTAGAATGTAATTTTCGATTGCCACTTTGGTGTTCAGTAAATCTTTTCCTTTGTGACATATCGTCAGTCAATTGATTCAATATAACTCGTTCACAAATCTTTGATACTGCAATTAGCAAAGACACTGGACGATTATTGTCTGCGATCTCATGATCCCCATCTTTTAAGAGGGGAACAACTTCTGCCATCTTCCATAATGTTGGATATTCGGACGTAAGCAATGAACAATTAACAATATCTGTTAACGCAGGGAGGATACATGTTAGGCATCTTTGATAATACTCATTGGGACTTTATCTAATCCTGGTGCCTTATTTGAGGAAAAAGACATGGTGATCTGCTGTACATCACTATTAAATACAAATGAATTTTTGCCGTCCAAGGCCCTGTTAATATGGAGGCGAGTAACTCTCCAATTGGCGAATAAAACTTATCTAATATTCGCACGAATTTTTGAGCAATATATTATATTTTCGAATGCAAAGCACATACATTTTATATATACATACATTCGATCTCGGGTGGCCGAGTTAATAAATACCCGAACATCTTTTGTTTAATATGGAAACAATTCGTCTCATCTAAGGCAATATCTCGCCTCTTTCTGCCGGGAACTCGTCACTGGCGAGTTTATACTCGGCTGCATCGTCATGTAAACAGTCCCCCGGGTTTACTGTAAGTTTCCATACTATAGCCTGGATCTTGTCGTTGACGAGTATAAACTCGACTTGCCGGGTAATTCGCCCCGATATAAATAGGCCTATAAAGACTCCCATCTTGTCTTGACATGCTTGATTACTAGACAGACACGCACACGAAATTCCCTCTTGGCAATATAGCAAACATATCATGGCGATGCATCAACTGAAACACAGAAACAAGGCATCATCTTATGTTTATCGAGTTTTGTAACACCGTCCAGTAAAAAAAATTCAAAATCGAATCAACCGCGACCGAGTTGTTGAAATCCTCTCGCAAAAATAAAGGCATATATATTTACGCCTGACTATGTTTATATAAATATAATATTATTATATTAAACAACAGCGTATGCTTGTACGGATTCTGAACGATAATATCTTGAAGGACATACGGTTCAAACAGCCAATGAAAGTCATTGTTTTAACAAGTCCCTGCCGCTAACCAATTAACATTGTGATCCAGATTCTGGATCACTTCACACTATTAAGCATCGTGATTGGTGCGGTTCGATCTGAGAAACCATAGAAGTGTTCCAGAGGTTGTTCCCGCTCGCCGCCGCCCAGCTTGTATCCTCGTGTATCCCTCATTATCCCCTTACGAGCGTGGAAGAACCTTCGGCACCCAGGGTATATTCAACGGTGAATATCTCGAAAATGGTTGAGTGACCGAGGTTGACCGGCTGGATAGAATTAAAGATTATACTTTTATTTAACCAGTCGTGAAAAAAATAACGAAATCGAGAAATGGAAATTTGAGATTTTTGTCTTCAAAGTTTGTTGACAGAAACGCCATTAAATTACATCGCGATGCCATAGCGCCTAAGTGAGAGGTCAAAATAAACTGGAAAATGACGCTTACCTTCCAAGACACCGTTCCAATGGGTAGATTGACTGTTGTAAAAGTAGTATCGCTTGAAATCCCTCCATAAATTTGCATAACAGTATAAAAATATCGATATTTATGAGACCTATGTAAATTTTCGATGCCAAAAGATTCGTGCGAGCATGAGGAAAATGGCGCAATCTGATTGGTCGAAATGTTAGCCTAATTGGCTCTCCAACCTCCTCTGCTGCAGTACCATTAACTTATAGATTTTATATCAATGGCAATGCCTTGAGTTGGCGCTGCAATTACAGTGCCAATAAGTTGTAGTTCATATTTCAATGCCTTTAGTTGGCGTTGAAATTGCAGTGCCAATAACTTGTAGATCATATTTCAATGCCTTTAGTTGGCGCTGCAATTGCAGTGCCAATAAGTTTTAGATCATATGTCAATACTTTTAGTTGACGCTGCAATTGCCGTGCCAATAAGATGTAGATTAAGTTCTTTGTATGTTTGCATGGCGATAAAATATAATGGTTTTTTTTGTGTTTCACCACGTAAATTTATTAAATTAATGCATGCAGTAATAAATTTACGTGGTGTTTCCACAAACAAAACCATTAAGATATACATTTTATTATATAAGTACTGAGATTTATTCATTAAAATGTCATTGCGCAATAATCGTACGGAATTTAGCCACGGACAATCAGCGACGTGAACGGTGAAATTTCACTAGTGAAACAACATCATTCGTGCCGTCTGACTGGATGAACGATGTTTTTCACTAGTGAAAAATGATCGTACGGGAAAATACGCTGTTTTCTACCACAAACAATTTGGCGCGAAAGCTATTTCAATTTGAAAATCAAAATGGCTGCGAGATTTGCGGACGCCGGTTCTGTTGACAATTTCATTTCAGAACAGGAAAATAAAGCTACCTCACAAAAAACAGAACGAGATATAAAACTATTACACTTGTTTTTGCAAACCAAGAATGAAGAAAGAAAAATGGAAGATATTCCAACAGCAGAACTGAACGAGTACGTGTCTGAGTTTATCATTTCGGTCAGCCGAACCAAAGACGGGAAAGAATACGATCCATCCTCGCTCCGAAGTCTATTAGCAAGCTTCGAGCGACATCTTAAAAAAAAAAATTACCCTGCAAGCATTATCAACGATATAGCATTTGAGAAGACAAGAAAATCTCTTTAGTCCAAGCAAAAAGAATTAAAAAAACAAGGAAAAGGAAATAAACCAAACGCTTCGGTGCCTTTAACTAGTTCGGAACTAAATACGCTGTATGCAAAAACCTTCTTGGTACGGGAAATCCCGAGTCGCTTTTAAACACGCTCTGGTTGAATAACACAATGCATTTTGGACTCAGAGGCTGCAAAGAGCATAGAGATATGTGCTGGGGTGATGTAAAATTGAAGGAAACAGTAGACGGCGAGGAATTTTTAGAGTTCAATGAGAGACAAACTAAAACAAGAACTGGATCAGACTGCCGTGATGTCAGAAAAATGGCGCCTAAAATGTTTGCTACTGATGGTTCAGAAAGAGATCCCGTGGTCGTCTACAAACTGTATGTCCAGAAGAGACCTCAGAAAATGAAAGAAGACGACTCTCCGTTTTACTTAGCTGTCAACAATAACTTGAAGGCAGAGTCTCTTCAAACGAAAGAATGGTTCAAGGCCGGTCCTGTTGGAATAAACAAACTGAACAGTCTGATGAAATCTATGGCTCAAAAAGCAGGAATTAACAACCGTCTGCGAAATCATAGCGGTAGAAAAACAATGATTCAAACACTTAGCGAAAATGATATTCCACCGACACATATCGCCAAATGTCTGGGCACAAGAATCTAAAGAGCATAGAAAACTACAGCAAAGTATCGACTAAACAGGAAATGCAAATGTCCAAACTACTCAGCGGCGTTATATCATTCTGCTACTGCAACCAAGACATCCTCCCATGATGAAAGAGAAAATCCGACCGCAATTTGCCCATCCAACTCTGAGTCACAACAAGCCATGGCTTTATTCAGTGGGGCTGTTATATATAAACACAGTGAACCAGTCACCCATGCAAGCTCACTGTAGAACGAGAATCTAGTCCAGTCAATGCCGAAGGCGAAGCGTTGCCAAGATGGAAAAGACTGAAAGTTTTAGAGGACAGTAGCGACGATGAGTATTAAGCAGTTTGAAGTATTTTTAATATTGTGTTCATTTCATATTCTCTTCGCGTTGAAATTTTCAAACTTGTTGTTGTCGTGTCGTTGTGAAAATATAATTCATTTCTTAATCTATTAAATCTTGCTGTAGATTGTAGGAAACTAAACCACACAAATAATTAAAACTAAGTATAAACGCTTTATACAAATATGAACGATTATAAACGACCTCGATGTTGACAGTACTTTACGATTTTGAAAAACAAGTGATTTTTAAACATATCTTGTAAGTTAATAATCAGGCATACCGGAAATGACTAAACAATTAAATATTCTATGTTAATAACACTAAAAACTTTGTCATCGTCAATGAAATCTCAGTACTTATATAATAAACAAATAACATCATGGTTGGTTCGCAAATACGATTTTTATTCACTCGTGAATTATTACAAGCTCACTCATTCGCTGCGCTCACTCGTTCACTTGCATGTAATAATCCACTCGTGAATAAAAATCGTACGCGCTCACCAACCATGAAGTAATCTCTATTTATGTCAACTCTTTCAGTTGGCGCTGCAATTGCAGTGCCAATAAGTAATAGATTATATGTCAATGGTTTTAGTTAGCGCTGCAATTGCAGTGCCAAAAAGATATTATAATAGATTAAATGTATAAATGCCTTAAGGTGGCTCCCTACAGTTAGTACAGTTTAAATTCGATTTATATAGATCAGACTTCATCCTCGCGACCTGCGCGTGGAATCGTCGTGTTTACTGTTCGGCAAAAATATTGAAACAAGCCGCGGGAAGTTTTTTGGCGTTTTTATCTACAAAGAAAGCTCCAGTTTTTCATTATAATCCTAATTTTTTGTGAATTCGAACAGTACGTATGTTATTAACTAGTTTAGCCAATCTTTTAGTGTGTTTTTACGTATTTACGTTCAGTATTGTCTTTCATATTGCTCAAAATTTTCAACTTGTTGTGTTGCGAACTGTCAAACTGAAACGATACTGTCTTCTAAACTCTTGAACAGTAGTGAACTGTCGCTGAAACTTATGTAAGTTCTGTCAATCAATTCAATTCACAGGTATCGTTTTATCTGCTAAATCAAATAAAACAGTTATGAGTTGTTTTATATGAAAAATTAAACTTGTAGTTCGATGTTTTGAAAAGTTTTCACATCGATTTTAACAACAAAAACAAATGTAAACTAACACTGGATTTAATACAATGCGTATAATAGTGTTTTTTATTAGTATTTTCAAGATTAATATTTTATTTTCATGTCAAACAAGTCAGAAATATCTGTTTTCGTATGTATTGTAAGCCAAAAAGTTGAAATCACTATAAATCACACGCTACAATTTACACGCATGCGCAGATCGTGCTCATGTCGAGTCGATTTTTTTTCATGCTGGCCACGCCGATTTTAGCGATGATTTTGTCGTGTTTTCTTCGGTGAAATTTTTTTAAACTTTGTATTTTTGTTATACAAGACGAGTGGTACAACATATCCAAATTTTAAGAAATTCTACAAATAACTTTTTCTGTAACAGTCATTCACGAATATCTCGAAAACTTATTTGTAAATTCCCTTCAAATTTTGATGTTTTTCCTTTATGGGCCATAAATCTTCAAAAAAAATTTCAGAAAAATTTACCGAAGGAAAATATAGATATTGTCAATTTATTGTGAAATTAGACAATAAAAGTGCAAAAGATTAAACATCATGGTTGCCATGGCAACACAAACACTGTTTTAATTTGTTCATAAATGGACAGCACACAGCTTCTGAACTTTCCTGGAAATGATCATATTGCCTTGTCTTAAGTGTATCTAATATAAATTCGGTTTAAGCGAACGTTACACAAAATACCTAGAATTTTAGAGAACTGTATGGAGCCACCTTAAGGCAGTTGGCGCAGCAATTGCAGTGCCAATAACTTATAGATTAAATGTCAATGCCTTTAGTTGGCCCTGTAATTGCAGGGCAATAAGTCATAGATTTTATGCGAATGTTTTCAAGTTGGCGCTGTAATTGCAGTACCAATATATTATAAAATCGATGTCAATCCCTTGAGTTGGCGAGGCAAACAATGGAGTGTCAATACGTTATAGACTTTATGTCAATGCTTCGGAGTTGGCGCTGCAATTACAGCCCCAAAATTAAAAAAGTTATAGATTTTATGTCAATGCTTTGGGTGACTATAAACTCTATATATTTTTCATTATGTGTAAATGTCAGGATGGTGCTAAACCGACCAATTCAAGTTATATTGAACCTAGTAACACTTCATTTTTTGTGGCATTATGGCACTGTTATATTATTTGTGGCACTGTTATTTTCAGGGGGTTAAAATAACTCCCCTATTACTCCTTTTTAGTGGAGTTAAAATTTTAGGGCTACGTTAACCCCATTTCAGGAGTTAAAGTAACTCTCATTGAGGAGTAAGGGGATACGGGCGAATAATTAGTATGCAAATTAACTCTTGATGGTGGAGTTATTCAGATATAACTCCATTTATTGGAGTTATTTGTTATAAAAGGCAAACAAAATGGCGTCGTGTTTTCGGCGTTTTTAATAGTTTTAACTCGCTCAGATTGCTTTCCTTTCTACTGCACTCAAGAAAAAAAACCGTGAAAATTATACGGAAGGGAGGCGAGAACTGCATTATTCATGTTTCAGGTAAGTGAACATATTTTACTTCGTGTTTAATATAAATATTCAGAGGGGAGGAGTGACATTTTTGGTCACAGCAGCTCAATGAGGCAGTGTTTTATTACAACTTATTTTTATTTTTCTGTGGTGATGTGTTGTATCATATTAAATTTAAACGTAGCAAGTACAAATTGTACACATTGTACTTGTCATACAGTACAATACAATCCACTATTATTAGTTAAAACAAGACATGACAGCTATGACAACACAAAATTCATTATATTTCATTACAGTACAACAAAGTATATAGTACAATTTTGCATCACGCAGTACATTACAGTACAATATGCCTGAAAGAACAGTGCACCAAAGGACATGCAGTACAGCACAATTTCGCATAGTTAAGATTACTGTAGCACAGTGAAGTACAGAGTTTAATTTAAAACACATAAAAATTCAGTGCAGCACAATAGAGTTTGAGGTGACTGTTTGAGCTGGTTAACCCACATTAGTGTGCAATACCCTCCCTTGAAAAGTAAAATTGTAAGTAAAATAACAAAGTAAAATACCAAAGTAGGACGCCATGGGCAATGAAGTGTTTAACACAACCCAGCCATTGGCAGCCAATGTACTGTAGTGTTAGTAAATAGAACAGCATTAGTGCAACACATCAGAAGTCTTATAACAGTCTTATATTGGATATAATTGAATGAATATGCAGGGACGCCGGAACGATAATAAGGCAAAGGGGGGCGGACGCACACCAAGGGCACCTCTATAAAGCAAAATATAAAAATCTACCGGAAAATTTTTTCCTCCCGCGCCCCCCCCCCCCCCTCAAATTTAAACTATAAATTGACTGAATCCCATGACTTTAGTACAAAAAGCATCGCTGGAAATGTGATTTCTCACGTAGTATTTTACAACTAAAAGGGCACTTCTGCCCCCTGCCCTCCCTAGCAAAAGGCAAGGGGGGCAGCAACCCTCCCTTCCCCCCCCCCAGTTCCGGCGTCCCTGTGAATATGCCTCACTGCTCAAGACAGTAATTGGCACTGCAGAGCAGATAGAAGCACATGGCTAAGCATATAACACCACAACAAGAATACAGAATGGTGCATGTACAGTACAGTACAGTACGGTACAGTACAGTACAGTACAGTATTATAGTGCTATACCACAATGTAGTATCAAGATTCTAAGTAGCATCTCACTTGATTGAATAATATTGTTAAAGGGTTTTGTAGATGGCAAATATCAAGTGGAAATTTATATACATTTATTAGACATAACCAGGAATAGCTACAAAAAAATGCTACCATTGAGTGGCAGCTAGTGCACCCTACTTTAGTATTTTATTCGGTTTAACGCCAGACGATTTTACTCGTCAAAGGGAGAGCGCTGGCGCTTAATGGTTTAACTGGCCAATCTGCCCATGTGTCTAGTTAACTGGCCTATCTGCCATGTGTCTAGTTAACCCATTGAGTGGCGATGCACCCTACTTTAGTATTTTACTCTGTCTAACGCCAGACGATTTTACTCGTCAAGGGGAGAACGCTGACACTTAATGGGTAACTGGCCTATCTGCCCATGTGTCTAGTTAACCCATTGAGTGGCGATGCACCCTGATGCACCCTACTTTAGTATTTTACTTTATTTACATTATCATGGCAAGGTCTTGCAATTATCATGGTAAGATCTTGCAGGATTTGTACCAAGATCATGCCAAGATCTTACATAAATCCTGCAAGATCATGGAAAGATCTTGCATGATCTTGCAAGATCTTTCCAAGTTCTTGCAGGATCTTACCTAAGATCTTGCAGGATCTTGCAAGATCTTGTCATGATCATGGCAAGATCTTGCAAGATGTTTGGCAAGATCTTGCAAGATCCTGCAAGATCTTAGGTAAGATCCTGCAAGAACTTGGAAAGATCTTGCAAGATCATGCAAGATCTTTCCATGATCTTGCAGGATTTATGTAAGATCTTGGCATGATCTTGGTAAGATTTTTGGTAAGATCTTGTCAAGATCTTGCTGGGATCTTGGCAAGATTGTCAACCTGGGAGTGCACCCTACTTTAGTATTTTATTCGGTTTAACGCCAGACGATTTTACTCGTCAAAGGGAGAGCGCTGGCGCTTAATGGTTTAACTGGCCAATCTGCCCATGTGTCTAGTTAACTGGCCTATCTGCCCATGTGTCTAGTTAACCCATTGAGTGGCGATGCACCCTACTTTAGTATTTTACTCTGTCTAACGCCAGAGTATTTTACTCTGTCTAACGCCAGACTATTTTACTCTGTCTAACGCCAGACGATTTTACTCGTCAAGGGGAGAACGCTGGCACTTAATGGGTTAACTGGCTTATCTGCCCATGTGTCTAGTTAACCCATTGAGTGCCGATGCACCCTGATGCACCCTACTTTAGTATTTTACTCTGTCTAACGCCAGACGATTTTACTCGTCAAGGGGAGAGCGCTGGCACTTAATGGGTTAACTGGCCTATCTGCCCATGTGTCTAGTTAACTGGCCTATCTGCCCATGTGTCTAGTTAACCCATTGAGTGGCGATGCACCCTACTTTAGTATTTTACTCTGTCTAACGCCAGACGATTTTACTCGTCAAGGGGAGAGCGCTGGCGCTTAATGGGATATAGTTGTCTGGCAAGAATCAAACCTGCGGCTCTGCTATTTCAGTGCAGTACTCTAGCCAACTGAGCTATATATCTCAGGCCAGTTGTTAAATAAGTTCATAATATTATATAGGTTACTGCCATATTAGGTTATACTGTAGGTAGTACATATATATATATATATATATATATTTTTTCCTGCCAGGGACCTATATTTGCATTTTTTGCAACTGTTCCTGTTTTAGTGTAATAAATATATATAAATTTCCACTCAATAATTTCCATTCACAAGACCCACAATATAGTATGTATGGCACGACAGTACAGTGTTGTACAGCATTTCACACAGTAAAGCATGGCTCAACAATATGCACCATGCCATGCCTTACTGTAGTGTGTAGTACATACTGTATCTCCATATTGTACTTACTGGTTCCTGATACTTTTAATATTGTGTTCTGCCAAACTTCCCTGTACTATGCGGTTCTGTATTATATATATACTATATTGTGAGGCCATGCATACTACATTATTTTGCCCTATACTGTATTCTGCCATATTCTGTTTTCTTCTGTTTTGTGGTGGCATCTGTGTGAGTCATACTATACTAGGGCATGCTTCTCTTCTTTATAATGTACTGTAATGTATTGTACTACTCTGCCATACTGGCATGTATTGTACTACTCTGCCATACGGTACATTATAAAACAAAAGAATACAGAATGGCACAATAAAGTGTAGAGCAACACCACAATATATTAAATATACATGGCACCACAATATAGTATAATACAGCACCACACAGTAGTGTCAGAGTGAGTACACCAGTGCACCAATCAGTACTGCAGTATGTTGGCAGAAAACAATATTGAAAGTATGCAACTATAACCAGTCAATATAGACATATAGGATGCACTATACATTACAGTAAGGCACTGCACAGTGCAGTTTTTACAAAAGTAGCAGGTAGCACACTATTATAGAACAGTATGATTGCAACAATATAAAAGCCAGATAGTAAACATGAAAGTATAATTGTATAAAAAAGCTTACAATGGGCAGTCAATAGGGCCCATTATCAAAAGATCGTATTATATCAAGAGTACTTACTTCCAGAGAGATTAAAATTGCGTCTCTCGCAGTGTGATTTTTTGTCCAACTTGCTGCATATTTCGCCGTACACGGACATATCACAAAATATATGAAATCTACAAATCCCAATAGCTGTTTACGTTTGCCAAGGAGACGCAAAGTGCCGGGGAATATTTCCCCGGTAGGTAGTTAGGAATCTGTCCAATTAGCATCCAGTAATCAACAAGAGTTCAATTTCCCGACCGGGATAATTATTTTCCCGCTCTTTTCTTCAATTTTTTGTTGCGATTTTGTACTTCAGGTTTCAGCACAAAATTTTCTTGATTAAATGTGGATTTTTTACAGAAAAATGCCAGAAGAGTACCGGTGTTCTGGTTTAGAATATATATTTGAAGGTAAGGTTGTGTCTTATGGACTTTTATGTTATATTTTTGGTATATTGCATTCAATTTTTTACAAACAAGCCTGTGGCGGTTTCGCGTTTAAACAGGCTGAACACACGGCGACTGTCCAGGCTGTCGACATTTAAAATCCTTCTAGTGCAGATTGGAATAGTATTTCTTTCTTTTAAGACTGAAATGGACCTTCAGCAACTTTTACAGGATGTGCCAGGCGATTTTTTTCCTGAAGGAAGGCAGCCTTTCTTGAGAAAGACGGTTCAAAGACCATGCAAGAGTCCAAGTATTATTCAAAATAGCAGTTTACCCCACTGTCAAATAAACCAGGACGAAATCTGCCCTGTTTTTCATAAAAATTAGCTTCTGTTTGTGTACAAAATTTATAAAACGCAATACATTTATAGTCAAAAGAGGACAACCTTTGAAACGTGATGAAGGTTTTATATTTTAGAATCTGATATAAGTTTTTTATATTATTCAGTAGAAGAAGAATTGGTCATAGCTTTCTTGGTAGTGATGGCTCGAGCTTCAAATAATTAAGGTGAAAAACTATTATTTTTATCCACTGTAGAGTATAAAGCTATGGTATCTTATGGGGCCTGGATATGTATTCCCTTGCAAATTTTTCTTTTTCCCCCACAAATATTTCACCATGTTTCCTTGTTTTCCCAACTTTATGGTCCCTTGTTTTTTTTATCATTTTTTCCTTTGAATTCTGATTGCAAAATATTAATATGCATTGTTCACTGGTTTCCTAAAACCAGCCCTGGGAGACCCTCAGTACAGTCTCACAATTATTTGGTGTTAAGAATTTTAGGACCCAAAGGCAACTGACTCTTCATATTCCATTCCAGAACCACGAAAAACTAGTTTGATATAAATATTATAATATGAAATAAGTTCCTCTATGAACATTGCCAGGTTTTTGCAGCTATGAATACTCCAGTCACAACTTAGAAAACCAATAGTAAAATGTATCTTAGACGTAAGTACAAGCTTCACATTTGCCATGTGGTAAATGCTTATTATTTCATATTGTAGGTTGATACAAGCGTGCCAAGACACTAGGAAAAGAATCATAGCCTGGATATGGATTCTATGGTCATGATGATGCCTATAACTGGCCATTTGAAACCGATTGTCTTATATCAAGATCTTGAGTTGGTTTGATGTCGATAAGTGTCAACTATGTCATGCTGTATAAATACATCAAAAAAGGATCACCATCGTAAAAGGGTCACCATCAACAGATTCTGGGCGAATGTAATGACAGGCACTTTATTTATTTGCTGCCTACATGCAACATTATTTCTTTAGCAAGGGGGTCTACTGTATATTGATTAATTTAATACAGTCTTTGTTTTTTCCCTATCCTTGTCTCATTGTACATGCCAAAGCTGCCTCTCTTTGACAAGTAAAATTTGTGGTGTGAGGCAATCAAGTATTATTGCCACACAGGTAGCAATAAACAGAGCACCTTGCCTGTAATGGGCTAACAAACAGCATAAATCCTACTTTTCAATTTCAAAAATCCAGGGCAAATTACAGTCCGTAAGGCTATAATGCATATGGCTTAATGTGATCTACAGTACTTTGTCAGTTTTCTGTGTCTATATACAAGAAAATTTACTTGTCAAGGGAGAAATGTTGGGCATTAATGAGTTAATTTCAATAGTAATTCACTGAGATGAAATTATTAATTCAATTGCATGCAAGATTAGGAAATATCTTGCTTCGTCCGTTACTATAATCAGGATGATACCATATGTAACTAAAGGTTCAAGGTACTGTACATTTACTGAAGTTCTTACATTGTAATAGTATACTTGTTGTCTTCGACAAATGTATGTGGACATTTAAATTTGACAGTAACTTAATGTGTCAATGATGCATGGTTTGAAATCAAGTTGTAGAACTTTATTTCTTGAAATACATGGCTAGTTGGTATAAAATATATTTCACAGAAAACTTTCTCGCGTACGTTTTGTATTAGATGAAGCAGTTGACTTAGTATAATTAGACTGATTGCTAGGTTTCTCGATACTTCCCCGTTTTACGAAGTAATTGCATTACGTCGTTAGAAAACGTTAACGCTCTTGGCAGATTTTACCTCGTTTTTTAATTATTTCTACGCAATTTTAATGTTATGAAAACTGATTGATGTTTTTTCATGGTTTTGGTTTTCATAACATTAAAAATGTGTAAAATAATTAAAAAGATGAGGAAAAGTCTTCGAGAGTGCCGGTTTAACTCCTGAAATGGAGTTAAAATGATTTAACTCCTGAATAGGGGTTAGATTTTAACTCCAATATGAGAGTTAGATTAACTCCAAAAGTGGAGTTACATTTTAACCCCAGAAATGGAGTTATTTCTAACCCCCCAAAACGGATTATTTTGAACCTTTTTTGCTAACCCCCTTTTCCGGAGTTATTTTAACTCCCTGAAAATAACAGTGAAGACTTGCCTAGCTTCAATAATCAATTTATCCTTAACAATTTTTGCTTGCTTTCCCGAAGCTCTTGCCTTCTTCAATCCAGGGTAAAGTGATTTCCTGACGGCTTCGATTTCTTCTGGGAATTGTTCGGATATCCCAATGTTTGTACCTTTAAGCTTCTTTGCATTCCAGCCGACGCACATGTTTACGATCTTGGTGGTAGTTAAATTTCACTACAATTGGTCTCGGTTTTTTGTTGTCTTCTTTCTTACGGCCAATTCAATGAGATCGGTAAATCTTGACATGCTTACGTGCGTCCTCGATTTCTATCTCTTGCTCTAAGAGATCATATATTATTTCCGTTGTATTCTCTCTCGTGTTCGGAAATGTTGAAGAACAACAGGTTGTCACACATATACCTCGCTTGTAAGTCTATTATCTTCCTGTATAGTGGCATTATCGCGCTCCAATAAGTTGATCTTTTTCGTCGCCATATCATATTTAGATTTTATTTCCTTGTTTTCTTTCTTTAAATCGGCGATTTCTGCTTGCGCGTATTCCAGAGAATGTTTTAGATCATTAATGTTATTTTCTATAGTATCGAGCTTCTGTAATTTGGTCATCATTGTTGAGAACATGTCGTGAATTTTCTTCATGTATTCACTTTTGTCTTCATCTTTTTCCTTCAGTTGATTTATTGGTGTCCTAGATTTTTTGATTTTTTTTCTGTTTTAGTCGGCGTACATAGGCTATGTATGTTTGAATTTTGCGCAGCGCGCTTGTTAGACTGTTGTCTAGTCACCATCTTAGATTATTGTATGTTTTGTATGAAGTATAGCCAAGGGCCAAGCTCGTATTCTATGAACAAAATATTAAACCCTTTCATGACCAAAACTCAAATAAATGGCGGAAATATGTAAAACGCATTGTTGGAAATAAAAGACAGAACTTTGACTTATCAGACCCTCTATCAGACGCCCCAATGAACGATAAACAAACTGCTGATTACATAAACAGTTTCTTTACGAGTTTGACTAAAGAATACCCTAAAGTGAAAGTGTTACGATTGAAAGTGTTGCAAAGAAATTGTCCAACATAAACGTCAATAAAGCACCTGGCCCTTTGATCCAAATATGAAAGTGATAAAGACATTGGCTGAACACTTCGCCGTGCCATTAGCTAACATTTACAACCAGTCGTTTAGAAGCAAATCTTTTCCTGAAATATGGAAAATTTTCAATATATGCAGTGTCCCGAAATCAAATCCATGTTCGTCAGTGGAAGAACTAAGACCAATTGCATTGACTAGCACTTTTTCAAAACTTCAGAAATCATATGCTGTTGAGTGGATTCTAAAAGACACTAATGACAAAATTAGTGAATCTCAATTTGGTGGTCTTGCTGGAACGTCCGCTGTCCTTGCCTTAATTATCCAACTACACAAGTGGTACCTAGCTATGGAGAATAATAACAAAATTGTTCGAATCATTCCTTGATTTCAGAAAAGCCTTTGACATAATTGACCACAACCGACTTTTGCAAAACTTTATTGACATTGATATAGGCCTACGCCCATGCAGGTTTGATTGGATGGTGTGCGTCGTATTTGCATGGACGATCACAGATAACTTCTCATCATGGCGTAAAATCCGAGCGAATGGAAACAAATGGGGGGGGGGGGTGTACCCCAGGGCAGCAAATTAGGACCTATAGCTTTCATTATAAAAATCAACCAACTCCCATCGGTTACAAATTGGGAATCGTCCGAAACAACTAACCAAAATCGTACGGATAAAGGAGAAACAACAATGTTTATGGACGACACGACCTTATCTGAAGTGATACAAGTATCAGACCACACTTCCGGGATACCGATTGGAAAAACTCAAGAAAATGTCAACAATGTAGTTCTGTTTGCAAAGCATGAAAAAATAGAACTAAATGCGAAAAAATGCAGAGAAATGATTCTTGATTTCGGGAAAAATAAAACAACCATCCCGCCAATTAATATTGACGGCCAACCTATCGCTCGGGTAAAGTCATATAAATTACTAGGAATGTGGCTGGATGATGATATGAAGTGGGCCACAAATACTGAATTTATCATCAAAAAAGCAGCTAAACGACTCCATTTTTTAAAGATCCTTAAGAATTATGGCGCGTGTAAAGATGATTTAAAATCCTTTTGTTGTGCTGTTATAAGGTCCACTCTCGAGTATGGAGCGCAAGTGTGGCATAAAAACCTTACCCAAGACCAAAGCAACAACATCGAAAGAATTCAAAAACGGGCGCTCAGGATTATCTGCCCTGGAAAGGACTACAATGAAGCCCTAAAAGAATGTAAACTTATACCACTTAAAGAACGAAGAAAGCACCTGTGTATTGACCTTATCAGAAATATGGTTCAACCCACCCATGAACTACATGGTTTGCTTCCTGATAAACATTCTAACATTAAAAAGAGAGAAACTAGAGCAAATAGTAATTTAATTTATAATTTTACTTGTAGAACATGAGAACGCTTTAAAAGTAGTCCGTTGGTATATGCGATCGATAAATACAATAAAAGCATTAACTGAAAGATTTGATATAGGTTTATAATTGTTTTAACATATACTATAGTGTTTTAGATTTTACTATATATATATATATATATACTATTAATATAATAATTTTAGTACAATTGGCGTAAAAATCCTAATTCTATTATATGCCCTACCATAATTTTACATAATACTCACATAATTCTAAAGAAAATACTAATTCATAGTCTTGATTATAATATATAAGAGTTTTGTATTTTACTCTTTATAATCCTGTAAACACATAATAATTTAGCTATATATTTTGCTATTGAAATATGATTAATAAACCATTACCATTAAAAAATTCAGGTAGATTTTGTAAATGTTTAAAACGGTACATAAATAAACAATTTAAATGTTTAACCTATTTCTTTTTAACAGGAATATTTCCCGATGATTGGAAATTTGCCAAAGTGACTCCAATATAAAAGTCAGAAGACGAAACCTTATGTGAACACTATAGATCAATATCAGTTATTTCGAATATCGCCAAAATATATAAGAAATATATTATATACTAAATATATAATTATTGGATCTCGGCAACGATTGAAAAACTTAGATAACGTACTAAAATATCATTATAAACGGACATCAAATTAAACGAGTTTATAAAACAGAAGTTTTGCATGGATATAGTTATAGACGATAAACTTAGCTGGAACAGGCAAAATAAAGAACAATGCAACAAGATATCAAAAAATATTAATTTTTTAAGAAAAGCCAAAGATTTTGTTGGCCTAGATACGCTAAAAATTAACTATAACGCATTAGTCATGCATGCATCATTTTAACTACTGTTCATGCAATTGTTCGGCAAAATACCAACCAAACACACTTAGACATATTGTATAAGCTTCAGAAACGAGCAGCAAGAGTAATAACAAATTCGGACTATAGGCTACTATAAGCGAGATCTTTTTATGTCATTAATTTAAAGCGATTAATGGCATGCTTCCAGAATACATAACACAACTATTTCACACTTGTGAAAACAGTAGTTACGTACTGCGCAGTAAAAGATGTCTCAGCCTAAAGTAAAAACGAATTTCTTGAAAAATATCTTTTCGTACAGAGGAGCAGCGTATTGGAACAACATCCCAATAAACTTGTTGAAAACCCTAAGAGTGTCAACAAGCTTAAAAACTGTCCATTATATCTATTAAATGATCATGCACACATCTTGTAAATAAGTAAATATAAGTAAATAAGTAATTTTGTAAATAAGTAGGCTATAATTTAGTTTATTAGTATATAGCTTATCCTTCCCTTATGATGCATATGTATTTTCCGCACGGCCCTTTGAAAACCACCTATGTGAAAGGTTATATACCGTGTTTAAAAATCATTAATAATAAAAAAATATTATAGTACATTTAAAACGTAAAATACGCAGCGTGATACGCCACGTAGTATATGTGCGTGGAACGCATGTTTATTATAGGTTTGATAATTTGGTTTAAAAGTATATAACAATACTGCCGAGAAGCAGGGCTGCAAAATTACCATTGAAAAAGGAATTAATTACAATTACAATTACTTGCTTTAAAATGTAATAAATTCCTGATTACAATTACTTGTTCTAAAATGTAATTAAGTACAATGAAAAAATTACTCCGGAAAAAAGAAATTAATTACAAATTCCTTTACCTGCCGGTTATGTACTATTTATATTATGAGACAATATCTTAAACAGTGGTTGTAAATAAAAAAGTTTAAACTTTGAAATTCAGTGCGAGAATTTATCAAGACGATATTTCAATATACTGTATTAAAACATTTGACATGCAAATCGAAGCATGTAAACTTATAACTTTATTCGCCAATATTTGGCGCTCTGAGCCTCAGAACAAATTGTGCATGGTTTCCACTTTCGCAATACATAGTACTTCATGAAGGTTATCATGTCATGTGATCTCGTTGAAAATTATTTCAGCCATTTTTGTCGTTAACGTTGTATTTTTTATTTTTATAGTTTTAACAAAATAAGAAAAGGAATTTTCAATTTCCATCTTGGATAAGGAACACGTTCCTTGCTTTTGTAATTGATTACGTTTTTCGTTACATTTCTAAAAACGTAATTAATTACGCCAGGTTAAGATTACTTCAAATGTAACGAGTACACAGTAACGTGTTACAATTGTAACGAGTATTTACAGCCCTGCCGAGAAGATCACGTAGACGTTGCTTTTTCCTTATCCGAAGCGGTTACCTGACCTTAATATAGTTTTTTTTTTATTTTTTACCCTCGACATGTAATAGTCGGCATTTGATCCTCGACTTTTTATCCTCGACATTTTACCCTCGCCTTCGACATTCAACACTCGACCAACAGTAAACCCATAAGACGCTGGTTAATTAAAACAAATCTTGAATTGCTCAAGGGCAAAATTTCAAGATAGCAAAGTAGCAAACAGCTTGAATATTTCGGGAAAAATAAATATTTAAGAATTTAACAAATCACGCGGATTTTCGGTGGCCGAATTTGAATGACGGAAAGGGAAACAATTTATGACTTGGTTTAGGTCGAAACTGTATATTCTCTATACTAGAGGTTGACAGTTTTATACGGACTTTATCTAAATTGGAACGACGACATGAAAAAGATTGAAAACAATGACTAAATTCCTAAACCGACGTGTGGTGATGTATTCCGACTGATAAGCGACATACATATACGCGTACTAATTTCTTATAATTTTCCCTTATATAAATCCTTAAATAGATATAAATTACACTTTAACTTTCAAATATACCTTATATTCATCCTCGGTTTTATCAGTCGTATTGAAGCAAGAATCAATTTCATCAAGACGCTCTTTGAAGACCCGTCTCTCGTTGGCTACGAACTCCTTATGAGAATCAATTTCGTTGCGAATCTCATCTACACAGCTGACCTCCACATCATTTGCCAAAGACAACAGAAATTCGCGATAAATATCAACGATTTCTTGAAGTATTTCGTTTTCGCTTTTTTCATCGTTCACAAGTCTCGATCTTACAAGAGCAGCATTGAAAATTGCGTCGGCTTTTGTGAAATCAGCCCCATTTGCGGTTGTCTTCGCCTTTTTTAAGTAATATTTGCCAAGCTTGACCAGAGGGAATAGTTGCTTTGATGCGTCGTTTCCTGCTGCTCTTAGCTGTTCTACCGTTACTGAGACATTAATTGTTTCATCCATGCATGTATGCTTGTTGGGCACGAAGTGACTAGGTCAGTATCATAGTCAACAACAACTATGACATTCCTTATTCCTCGTTGATATATCAGATGTCATGTCAAGCACACTAGTCTTTTGTTATTCAAATAATTGTTTACGTAGTTTCGAACAGTGCCTTCATTTGGAATTGCCTTGAAGTTTCTAGAACGAAGTAGAAAGACTGACAAAAATATTTCAATTATTTAACCTCTTTGTTCATCATCTTGTAGGGGGTCTATTATATAGCGCGTTGGTCGTTCAGCAAAACAGCTGTATTTTTGTCTCCTTTAGCGTTAACAACCTGTATTTTCTACGTACTTGAAAGCAGTTACCGTCATTTTGTCTATTTAGTATTTTTCTTGTTTCGTTCAGAAACATATATATATATATATATATATATATATATATATATATATATATATATATATATATATATATATATATATATATATATATATATATATATATATATATATACCAGGTGGCCCAAAAAAAAGTACTCCTGTTTGATTCGTAATAACTTCTAAACAAGTAAAGTTTTTAAAGAGAAATAACTTGCATTAAATAGAGGAAGGACTAACTTAGATGTTGATATATTACAGTTGTATTTAACTTAAAAATTCACGGATATATTAATGTTAAAAATGGGGAGCATATTTTGGAATGTGTCTAAAATTAGCGAAAATCGGCATATCAAATATTAACTCCAGCGTTTGTTTGCTTAATGACATATCAGGCTAACTTGTATTTCAGCGAATTGTCGTTAGGGTTTGTAAGGGATATGGCGTAGATTTAGACATCTTACATGTAAGTCTTAGCTCATTGTTTCCTGAAATATGAACGTTCGAAATTATGCAAGTATTTAATATTAGGTCTTTGCAAACTTAAATGTACATGAAAGACTGACCATGGAAGGCAGACGCTTAAATTTTTCGTATTCTTAAATAGCCTAATTTTTTTATGTTTTTAATGGGTTCAAACAGACTGAGTAGATTATTTCTCGGTTAGAGCAGGATGAATATTCTTTATTGAAGGAAATAATATTGCTTTTTGCAAATACACATCACCGTATCAACGCTATACTATTTTGTTACGTTTTGTTCCAAAAATGTTGCATGTCTCTGGGGAGTTGCTTAATTGTTATGTCTTATGGAGTTGTATGGTTTGACTGTGTTTCATATAATTCTCAGTTTACTCCATGAACTTGCCAAGATTAAGAAACGGCAAAAGAGTTTGGGTGTTCTTAACAAGATTTCAGAACGTTGCAGAAGTTTGAAGAGCTTCACAATTCCGTTGTGACAGCATGCCCTAATTCAGAACTACGAACGATCCAATGACGATCCTTCGCGATGCAGTGGTCTCATGAAATAAGGAAACGTATTCGTGCTAGGAACACACGCGAATTTAGGACGAATGAATCTTGCTTGTATTTTGTAGATATAATAATACTTTGTTTCATAATAAACAATTTGTCAAGTGTCATTTATTTACTGGTAATAGTGCATTTTTCAGTCGGGCAAATCTTGATTAATATTTGATACGCCGATTTTTGCATATTTCAGACACATCCAGAAATATCCTCCCGAATTTAAAGATTAATATCTCCGTGAATTTTTAAGTGAAATACAACTGTAATATATCAAAGTCTAAGTTAGTCCTTCCTCTATTTGATGCAGGTTATTTCTCTTTAAAAGCTATACTTGTTTAGATGTTATTACGAATCAAACAGGAGTACTTTTTTTTGGGCCACCCGGTATATATATATATATATATATATATATATATATATATATATATATATATATATATATATATATATATATATATATATATATATATTTAATATACATATTTATATATGATAGGAAATAAAATAAACACATATATTATATATATATATATTTATATAGATTTAAGATTTTGGTTTACGAAACACAAACAGTGCTCAATACCATATATAGATAAAGCGTTCATACCTGATGATTCCTATACGGATGAAACAGACTGTTGTGGTTTTTTGAGGTAAAACGAAAAACTATATATATATATACTATATATATATATCTACTATATATATATATATATATATATATATATATATATATATATATATATATATATATATATATATATATATATATATATATATATATATATATATATATATATTCAATATTGAATTTGTGCGTAGTGAACTAGAGTGCTCAACACCAATAAATCAGTAGAGCAAATAAAAAGACATAAACCACAAATTTCAATCTTAAAATTTTATTTCATCGCTACACAGTGTTTCAC